TGATTAGTATAATAGTAGTAAGAACCTGCCAACCCACCCCTCCCCTGAGTCAAAGTTGGCACTAGCTTCTCGCTAAGGGAAAGTTCATTTAATATGACAAGGGGGGAAAGTGTTGGGTTGAGGGCTTGAAATTTTAGCAGGGAAGCTTTTTTTTGAGCCCCCTCCTTGGTAGTCGATTCCACTCAACATTTGCTCCCCTGAAAAAGATCACTTATTAAATTTATTTACTTATTGTCTTCAATAACGGATAAACTTAACTCTTCACTGAGTTTTTGGGATGAACTGCTCTCCACATTTGAACCCTAAATATACGAGTAATTGATCATCAAGCTTGTTTGGTCAAAAGGCCCCCCCTCTAGCGCATTGGCAGAACCCCCTTCAAAAAATTTTCGAGCTTTTTTTTTTTTTTTAGCAGCTTTTGAATTTCCGTTTTCTCTTTCCTGTTTTCTAATTTCTGTTTTTCTTTTGCTATTTTTCTGTAGTTTTATGATCTCTATAGTCTGTTATTCTTTTTCCTTTCTTCTGCTGTTGTATGTGTCCCGCTCTGTTTACTTTCTTCTTCTCTTGTCCGTTTTCTCTTTTCGGTCTTCAGTTCAATTTTTCATTCTGCTTCCTGTTTTCTGTAAACTCCTTTTTTTTCCTTTTCCAGTATTGGTTCTCAGCGCGTGTTCTATTTGTGCTCTGTCACCCAACAAATCGTTCACACACATCGGGCATCGTACTGGAGCGCTTGGCGGACAGGGTTTGCAGGACTAAATCTCAATCCTCGCTCCTGAGTATTTACTTCAGTCTGAGGGGGATCTACTCCGCTCTTCTACTCATTCACTTCCCCTACTGTTCGAATACCCGTTTACACTGCCACAAAGACTGGCACACAACCTATTCGATCTATGACAATTCACTTTTAAGAATGCGGCACAGCTTCGCTCCTTTAGTGAAACATCTACATGTACATCTACATTAGTCAGCAGAAACTATGTACAGTTATCACGTCAACATTAAATTAAGAAGAAAAGGATCTAAAATTTATAAATAAATAAATACTGGAGGAGGGTCACCTCATACCAATCTCCTCGTAAAAAATCGCTTCACATACTCTTAAAAATATCTAAAGATTTCGCAGATACAATGTCAGAAGGGAGGCTATTCCATTCCTTCATTGTTCTAGGAAAATAGTAATATTTAAAAATATCGTCACTTGTATGTGCAATAAAATATTTAAAACCGTGAGATCCACGAGTCCGAGTTTCTGTTACTGGAGTAAAGCACTTAGACTTATTTACATGAATGATGTCATTTGAATTTTGTACATTGTGCATAAGCGAGCTTGTTTGCGGCGAGAGGCCAGGGATTCCCATTCCTGAAACCGTGCTGAAATCACCGCTCTTGTGCGTGTACAAAAGCTCTATTCGATATCGTTTTTGTGTCAGCGTAAGAGCTATCCCTGATAGTGTAGACGTGGTGTAGACATTGCGTAAGGCTTTGTTTACACTCTACGGATAGCTTTGTTCATGTTTTGTGACGACACAAAAAGCTATCCCGTATGATATAATATGAACACCTATCCAATATGTGACTCTCCACTTTAGAGCCCAGTACGCGGCGCAGCAGCTTCGCTCCGTTACAGAAATCGCGCCGAAATCACATAGCCTGCAAGCAAGCTCTCCTATTTGGGCGAGAGAACGCGCGAGCGAGCGGCGAAGCCGCGAGGGTCTTCTCTCGCGTACCTCTCGCGCGTCCACTTTTCACGATACCCCCGAATGGAGATGGAGAGCTTGCTCGCAGGCTAAGAGCAACGTCATATGGCCTACACTAGGAAAACAAAACTTACTACGTTAGACAGTTTAAGGGCTATCGGACATACACTTTTATGGGTTTCAATATGAATCCCAGAGTGATTGACATGTTTTTGGTTAATACTATCTTCCAAAAGAACTTGGTGGGTCCAAGCTGCTTTATTTCCACAGCAAAATTTGCTCTTGAAATAAAGAAAAAGTTGTATAATTTTTTCATTATTTTATCTGTACAGTTTTAAGTGGGTATCGAACGTAGCTCCGTGGGTAATTTGGTGTCTCAGCCAATCAGGCCCTTAAAAATAACCAAACTTGACTAATCGGTAGACGGTTTTCCGCCCTTGGCGACCAGTAGCCAGCTGCTTCAAGGTCATGTAGGATAATATGATTGACAGCTCGTGTTGTAATTGGCTAGAGTACTTTGGTTTTGCTGTTTTGACTTCTCTTACGGACATGACTACCTTGTTTTGTCTGCTCCTCATGGAAAAATAAAAAACTCAAAACTAGGGGAATGTTTTCTTGCTGATACAGAAAATTTCCGTTTATACTTTATGGAGACAAATATATCCAAAATTATGGTTAAATTGATTCGATCATGAAATGACCGGCGTTCACAATCCAATATTTGACGGTGCGATGCATGACGTCCGGCAAAGGCCCCCAGGAACAAAAGCCTAAATGAAGTTTCACTTCCCATGCAATACGTTATGCAGAAACATTCAGTATTTTCTGGGATCTCCATTTAATAAGATCTGACAAAGAGTAATATTCATCATACAACTTAATTACCTCAAACTCCTCGAACTGTCTGATCATGATGTTATACTTTTGAGTAATTCTATTTAAGTGCTGTTAAGCTTTTGATATTTGTAAATCATTTTAAGTTAACGTTCAGTGAAAACAAGAAATTTTTAAAAGCCGCTGATACCGGAAGAAATAGCTATCTTCACAGCTAAGATTAAAGTGACATCAGTAGTTCTAGAATGCCCGGGTGGGATTGCCATGTTAATCACGTCATATAATCCACTTCCCGATAAAAGCAACTGTACAAGTTATATTTTTCACTCTTTTAAAAGTGTCGAGGATGAATTCTGAGGTTTAAAACCGGGAATAACGAAAACATAATTTTTGAAATAATACAGTGATTTCATACATGCCTTAAATTTATAATCGTATTGCAGTCACGTTTCCCGTCCTGCGGTTTTGATTTTAGGAGCGAAAGTTTCCAGAGCTGAAGTGTTTCGCTTATCGCGGTTGAGTGGGTTTATAACAATGTTAATCAGGCTGCCAGAAACATGCGTCATCTTTTCAAACTTTAATCGTGAAAGCATCGGAACCCTTAAAAGAGAAGTACAAGAATTCCTGCTTATCGTATATAAATGTTTAATATACCAGTCTAAAAATATCGTTATGTGATCACCAAAATAGCGTCAGGTTGGCAGTAAACCCCACATCCTGTTCCCTGGCATGCGTATATAGAGCGGTTTTCACTTGACTGAAAGGGCGTAGTAAAACGTAGTAAAACCAAAACCAAAACCAAAACCAATCCCTTTCGACAGTCAAGTGAAAACCGCTCTAACGTCTTATATAATAAAAATTAGAAATTATGCAAGTTGGTAAAAACAGCAGCATGATATTAAGAGCTCATTGCACTGAACGTTATGCACGTGATTACAGTAATAGGTAGTTTGAGCATGCTTATACTTCTTTGCATTAAATAAGCGACAACATCAAGGGCATTTTAATTAAGTTGCTATAGTTTCATTTAATATATTGTAAAAAGTGTTGCTCGTGTTGTAAGATGCACTTGGTCTCTTCCTCCTTTTTTATGATTTCTTTATTTTGGAAGGGTAGCTAATTAACAATTATTCCTCGAGCCCGAACTGAAGGGCTCTGAGTTTATAGCCCATGAGGCCGAAGGCCGAATGGGCTATTGACTCAGAGGCCATAAGGGCGGGAGGAATAATTGTTTTAGTAAAATCCAACTATAGTTGGTCAAAAATATCGAGACAAAACAACTTTAGCTGGTTAAAGCTAGACTTTAATCCTTTTTGGCCGCCAAAAAGCCGGCGCTTTCGCTACTAGTGGGCTATAACATGTAGCCTAGTAGTAGCTCAACCAATCAGAACGCAGCATTGATAATAGACCACTAGTTGGATTTTACTAATGGTTGTTTTTATTTCCTACAGTTTCTGTAACTTATGTCAGTGTGAGTAAAATAAATAAACATATTTTGCGATATGAATAAAGAAAAATCAACACGTTATTCAGTTAAATGTTTAGGTCCTACTACCAAACATGCAAGTTTGGTTAGATAAACTAAAGTTTACGAAAAATAAGGACTATATTTCATGCTGTCATAATGTTTTTTAGGCAGTTTTAGAATTTTATGAATGCCCCGATAAAAAGCTAGATACATCTTGTGACTTTCTCCAGTAAATAGGATTAAAAGAAGACATTCTCTATACAACCCAGAAATGACAGATAAAGGATCTATCATTGACACTCTGACTAACTGTAGCTGGAGAAATCGAAGATTGAAAGTTGTTAATCTAGCATAAAATCAACCCAGCTAGCTGAAAGGGTCACCTTAGCCCTTGAGTCACGTGTGTGCGACATTAATCACGTTGCAATTAATAACGAACATTTTAAAAATTCAGTGTGCGATTTTGCGGTCATCGTCCTATCGAGCATTGATTTCTTTCTGTTGGTATGTATTCTTTATAGGTCAAGATTTAAATAATCTTATTACAAAAAGGCATTTTAGTGCATTGAAAAGAAAAAAAGAAACAAGATGTTCTTCTTTTTTTACTGTTAGTCTTTCAAGGATACCTTGTCCGGCTACATTGATAAATGTTTGAATGCAAAATCCTTGCACTGGCAATCCAGTTATTCATCTGCGAAGCTAAAGCATGTAATTATTTAGCCCTGTCTTTCAGTTTTTATAGAACTTTACAGCGGAAGCGCGGTCACAAATATTTACTTAGTCTTCAATCTGAATCTGAGGTAATCTGCCATAATTTGATCAAAGCATGTTAAAATGTTCTTGCTAAGCCAAGACTTGAAACAACGAAATGTTTGGCTTTGATATTTGGCCTCATTGTCGCCTTCACTTACAGATTCTCCATCGTGAATAATCCCCAAATAGCTTCAGACTTCTGTTGCTCCAAATTTCTGCCCTGATGAAACTACCCGCAGAATTCATTGTCATACTGTTTCTGTGTCCTTTGTTTCTACAGAAATATTTGGACTTGAATACATCTCAAACAGACGGTCCCACTGTTTATTATACTCTTCGAAACTCTGCATTCCAGAATCTAAGGAAAAACAGTTTGTATGTTGCCCAATAAGTCGCAATCGCTTTACTCTTGACTCGCGGAAATTCATGAAAACTCGCATCATAGGTTGCTCTGTGAAGTGTTCTGCTCTCTTCTTTACCTTTTGGAACTTTCTTCGAATAGTTTCGCTCCTACTTCTGTGTGGGGAAAAATAACGCACTTCCTCTAGATCCTCCGACCACTGAACGCTCTTCTTACGAGCAGATCTGCTACGCCGTCCTTTGATCTTTTCACTCTCCGAGTTGTATTCAGTTCCGTGTGAAAAGCTGGTAAACTCACAACTTGTAGACCTGCGTAAGGGCATACTTCTCTCAAAGGTTCAGGATATACATAAAGAAGAGGATTTAAACAATGAAACGTCAAAACTCGAGAAATCCTTCGGTGCGTCAGTGGTTACGGCTATCAACGAGCGTAATCGATGCCTGTAGATGAGCCAGAATTTTGATGAACTCGCAGCAGCGCAGTGGCTTTAAAAATGTTCATCTTAATCAATAATTCATTCCCTTTTCCATTACATCATACCGAATGCGTTGGTTTAAAAAAAAAGGAGAGTAGGACGGACGTGTACAAAACACTATGGTATTGTTTGTTCTTGAAAAATTGTTCCCCATTCATCCCTTTTTTCTATTCAATACTCTGTTGCATAAGACCTGTCTTTTTATCCCACGCGATTGCTACCTTAAGCGCGTGAGTGTGACCGCAAGCTCAGTAAATACCATCCTGGTTGCCATAGGTTCAGAAAGGCATACTAACAACAAGCGTCGTTAAAACTAAACCCATTTTAAAAGAGACTAATTTGCTTTTCCTTGCCATGAACTATATATGGCGAGAAACGCCTAAAACAGGAAATTCAGAGTAAAAACCTCTTAAAACTAATTTCTTTTCAACCAGCGACTAATTAATTCATAACAAAATTTAACCACATGTCCAAAATAAGTGACTTTTTTATGAAAATAAAAAAAATGATGAAAGAATTATTTTATTAAGACAGATCGTCACTTGATAATTTTCGTTTCAGCGGCTTTACTTTTTCAGACAATGAATAGTGGGCATTTTTCTTTAAAATAGTGATGTCTGATTTTTTTTTTCTTCAAATCAATCAATTTCTACTCTCAGTTTTGAAATCTGACACAGATAATAATACATTTGAACGACAGACTTGAATAAATTTTGCCCATTGTAAAAATTAATACGTACTGTAAATTACCATCGGCCTCCAACTATTTACACTTCCTCAAGTATTTCAAATTCCCATAAAAGGCAAGGGTCTGACGCCATCTTTTAAAATACTACGGTTGTGATTAACCCTTGAAAACCTCAAAATCGACGTACAAATTCTCCAACTGATCTCTATACATTTCTTTAAAGAATAAGTTAAGAGAATTTAATAAAAGATCAAAGCTTTTTCTCTTAGGTGATTATTTTATTTATTCTCATAAATTAATCTCTTGACATTGTATGGATATCGTTAGGAGAAAATTGATGTTGGTCGCTATTGGGTCTTAAAGGATTAAGGCAACGTCCGCATATTTTTAATACACAAATCGACCCTCCGATCGTCCATACGAAACCAGTGAATTGTCTCACCGAAATCACGTCTTTTTGAAACCGCTCTCCAAAATGGTTTAAGGCCTCTTCCTCAACAATCCAGCTAAACATATATGCGGTTTCAAAATGTACAGATTCTTGTGGACGAAGCCTAAGAATCATGTTACTAAAGGGGCTGTTTCGATCGTGATGCAGGAAATGACAACCAGACAATAAGAGTACGACATCAGTTCACTCACTAAGGTGGCAATAAACCAAAATCATTAAAGTTTTCGAATGAAAAAAACAAACAAACAAACAAACAAACACATTGGGCCAGTTGTTTAAACGGAGTTTAGTCAAACGCGCGTTAAGCCATTTTCAGTTTGCCGAACGCTTTTATGTAAACACCATTTATCGTGAACAGTTTCATTAGAGCATATAAAGGGACAAGAAAAGGATTTGTCTTCTTAAACGAACCCACTAAGGAAGCGACTTGGGGATCCAAAGATTTTTTCCTAAACCGCGGCCTAAGTTGGACTTCGTTTAAATGACCGACCAGTTCAGTTTCTGTCCAAGTTAACTCTCTCTTGAAGTTGACTTTTAGCGCAATACAACGTTGCAACGTTGTTGCGACGTTGTTTTGAATTGTTACAACATTGTTCCAACATTACAACGCTGTGTTGCGCTAAAAATCGTCGTTGCGAATCGTTCCATGTAACATCACCTTAACCGACACCTCTCAATAAAGGTTGATTTCCACTGACGCGATTTTGGCTACGCACGTTAATGCACGTAAATTTTAATCACGTAAATAAAATGAAGGCAAGATAAAAAGTGCTGAGCTTAAACGAGAAGTTGAGCAAGGTTCAATTTTTACGCTTACATCTACGAACGACCTTTCATGCATTGCCTCTTCGGCTATTTTATTTGCGAACGTAAATTTTACGCTGGTACGCACGTAAAACTTACGCGATACTTGAAATCAACCCTAAGACGAACTTTTTTCGAACACGGACACATGATGCCCATCCCAACGACGGTGTGCGTCTTACAGAGAGTTTACTGAATGTTGTTCTTACTCGTTGCTTATGGTCAACTATTACATCAATTCAGTTTTTATGTACTGGTATAGAAACTTTTAAGAAGACCAGGCCACTATAATTAATGAGCTTGTATTGTTACCTACATACAAACATTTCTGTTACAATTTGATGACACTTCTTCTTTAGCTTTGTAAGGTATAATGACAATAAAGCATTACCAGTCGGTCAGGAAAAAAACCGGTTATTACTTAGGTTGCTCATTGTTTTATTATTACTATTATTCTTATTATTATTAATATTTTGTTTTTAAACAAAATAATAACAACATCCCGTTGTGCAAACAGTTTCCCGTCCTCGGACGTCATTGTCATCAATATTTGCGACCTGGAAAATTGCCTGAAACATCGAGAAAGTATTTTTCAACCCACTAGTTAGCTATTCTCTTTCACCTCACGAAGTAGCTATTACTGCTAAATACTTCTTATCTTTTACGAAATTCGCCGTGGACAAAATTGATGTCCGTTTGGGTCGAAGACAGATTAATCATATTCAATTTTAAGAAACCTTTTTCAGTATTTTTCCTGCTAACGTAGGACGGTTTTCTCTCAGCTGTTCTCTGACAGCAAAGCCGGACTTTACGACAACACCTACGCCTTCAGTCAATTTTGTGCCATTAGCTACATCGGTACTTTTCCCATTCAGCCCACCCAAGTATCCCAAGGTTGCCGATCTAATAGGCAGTTCTCATTTCTCTCTTTCAATTTCGGTTCGTTTTGGCGATTTCGTCATCGCGTACGTACATGGAGGGCTCGGCACGCATCGTAGAATTGGCGATGCCACATCGGAGACATTCGTCTTTTCCCACAAATGATGAGTATCTCTGGCATTCCGATTTGCAGCAATTTCCATATATTTTTTTAATTCCAGCAAAGTCACTTTTAACACCGAAGACTGATGGGGATGTCTTTCAAGCTAAGGCAAAAGAGACCCTGACTATATTTTTGCACAATTTTCTAAGCTAATCTCGATTGAAAATACATTCTACATATTACATTTGTAAAGTACAAGTTATAAAATTTGAAGTATCCCGGTGTTTGAGTAACTCGAAAATAAAAAGCAAATAAACACAAATCAAACAAACCCCCCTGTGTAGCTTTCCCGCGAACCTAAACCAGCGAGTCGCAAGTTTTTAATTTGGAGGGGAGAATTGTAAATAATAAATTGCTCTGTGTCATAAATATTTAAGCGAATGGGACGCACTTTTCTACATTTTTGCTCAAAATGCTGTAACCAATGCTGAAGCAGAGTGCTTTTCCTTTACAAGCTGAGAGTCGCTCGATGGAACAAGCCTCATCTTCTTTTTAGCAACAAAGTTAGGCATTTCAACTAAATGACCCATTTCAACATTCAGTGCTACGTTTTACCCTTGATTTTTAGGCTAGCCGTGTTTTACTGGCTATATATACTGATCCATAGCACATTAACAACCTTCTGCCATTTTTCTTCCCAGAAAAGAATATTAGCTAAGATTAGCTTGCATATTCCTGATGGTCAGCGGTAATACAACTCATTTTACGGCAGGTGTAGCGAATTTTCATAAAAACTCTCCTTGCGGTTTTAGGCGAAAACAAAAGCAATGAAATAGAAAAGAAATGACGTACTCACCTTTTGAAATACATTTTCGTGGGAAAAAAATAGTCATTTTGCCATTGACTTAATGGCTAATGGTTTCAGTACTTAACGAATACGGTTGATGAATATTGCGCAATATTTCATGGCCCACAATTTTTCGAGTCGGACCAGGTGATCAACATTTTATTTCCTCTTACAAATTAAACCAGGTGCCGAGAAGATATAATTCATCTCCGCTTTCGTAACTCCAAGATTGTCAGCAGTAAAGATCTTTAAGTCGTAAATTTTATTTAATTCGGCTATTAATTGCACAAAGGAAAACGACTTGAACAGAATCTGTAGAGGCGAGGGTCGGAATTTCTCGAACATATTGGAAACATTGTTAAAAGTTTTCATTAGAAGATCGAACGACAGGAGATATAGAATTTCACAAAAAGGCGAAGAAAAGGTGAAGAAAGAACGGCGGCTCCCACACACAAATCCAAGATCTGTACCATCGATCAGTTCAATCCACGTCAATGTGTGTTGTTCTTACAAGATATTGTCTATACCGTTAGATAAATATAATACATTTATTGCCCAAAACTAGATGCCAAGAAACTGTATGTGATGAATTTGATAAATACATTCGTTTGTTAAATCAACGGTCAAGTTGAATAAGTTTCCTTCATTATGTACTAACTATTGTGTATTCAATTTGTCGAAATTTGGGTCAGCTAGGTTTTTTTCTTTTCTCTGCACTTTATAGCGGTCGTGCCTTATCAAGCAAAAGGGAAAGTAGTTCTTCGCGAAACGATATGTGTTTCGAGCCTAAAACAAGCTGAAAGGTTTTATAGCTCGTTGGCTTTTCCTCCAAAGCGAAATTTAATCTTTTTCACTCCGAGGGGCAATTATGAAGCCCCAAAAGTAATATGATATTTATATAAGTTCTTTGGAACACAAATATTCAAACAAATTTCCTGTTGCAATTCTCGATTTTTGTTTCGTTTACTTCGGGTTTTTACAAATAAAAACGTCTTTGATTTTTTGAGAAGTTAAACGGCTGAATACATTTCATACTAAATAAGGGATGCTGTTTCCATGTTTTTGATCCGCGTGCGAATGCACGTGCAGTATCCAGGAAGAGCGAGGGGCCTGTGTTTGCAGGGTATCTTTGTTATGGTAAAAGAGGGTGACACAGCAGTTATTGACACGAAAAATATTTTATTAAAAACTTTTTTTTTCTCAATTTCTCGATCTGCGAAACTCATTCATATTTTACAGTATGGGATTTTATATTTCTTCATTTGAAAATATTTGGCTGCTTTTATATCATATATATTATTTCAGATATATACTGTAGGCGATCATAAATAAGCTAGAACGCGACGGCATCGACGTCATTAAGTGTTATATTCTCTTTGTCAAAAGATTAACATAATTTACTTTCAGATGCAAAATGACTCAAAAATAGCGTTATTAAAAATACGAGCATTTAGTTGTTCTTTTTACAAATAGCTCCAAAATACCGATTTGCCTCGATAGTACTTGTAATATTCACAATTTCATTGGCTTTTTAATTACGAGGCTATAATAGTTTGCTAAGAAAAATTTCAGCAAAAGCAGAGAATTCAGTTCATACAAAATTTCGTTTTCTGCTCAAGTTGAATTGGCAATGCTCCCTGGGCGAAACGATTTTTTTGTCCTTTAACCGTCATGTTACAAATAAAAATTCTTCCCAGTTCCTCGAGGCTGTTTTTCTCCTCTCGGGGCAAAGTTTATATCTTGGTTTACTGCTGAAATTATCCGGTCAAAATAATGCCACATTCTTCTTCGAGTTTTATCAGCGCCAAAGTCTGGATACCGCGACCACCTCTTCGTAAACCGTTAAAAACTATGACCATGGAGTGGTGACAGACTACTTTTGATTTACATCTTCATCATCATCGTCCGTAGATTCCTCATTCGCACCAGCAAAATTTTCAAAGAGCTCATCCCATTCCTTGATCAAATCTTCGTATGTAACACGGTCGGCGTCAAATGAACCACTTTGCCCATGTCGAAGTATAAATTCCAGCCCGTTATGAACAGCGTTCGCACTGAGTTCACCCATGTTTGTAATGATGCGGAGCGGCTTGTCCGTGATTTCGCTTGCTTTGCGTCGTATTTTCGTCATCTTTTTCTTGAAGCTCTTTCGCAAGTTGTTTGGAGGCACATAATAACGAACCTCCTCCAAGTTTTCTGCCCATTGTACTTTTTTGTCTCCGTTACAGGACCAGTTGTCGTTCAAACTTCCCATGTTTCTCACTTGAGATCAATTCAGTCTTCAGCGTTATAAACAGTGATATGCCCCAGCATATATTTATACCGACAATATTGGAGTGAGGAATTGATTGCTCCTGTCAGCAATACACGCGTAAGTTTAATACTTTCAGCTCACCCACGCAATTTTTGAGTATTTCATTGCTGATTGTTCATAGGAAGTGGGGTTATTTTTAGGCTTCAGTGACGGAAACACATCCTACTTTGGCAACTCGACATTAATTCGTTTGTTCTACTTGCGTCAGGCGAGGAGATTCTACGTCAGGGTATTAAGGACACAATGTTTAATCCTCCTGTGCTCTTTTCTCTCCACACTGACATAAAACCGCCCTTTCTTTGTTTTCGCTGGAAACAATTTTTTGTTTCGAAGTCTGGTCCATTCGGGTCTTTTCTTTTTGCTAGCAGTTTCTTTGGACTGTTATTTATTAGTATTTAAAAGCAAAACAAGACTGGTTCTGCATTTAATTTATACACCGGCGTTACGAAAAACGAACAGGTGTCTTGAATTGGATTGGCTGGAGCTACTAGCTCTATAGGATGATTGGCAGTTGGTTGTCAGAATCAATAATTGTTCTTATGCGATCGCTCTATTTTTATTAAAACGTGATCTTTGTAGTTGTACCGATCATATACGTGAATACAATTGGTAATTTAACTCAATTCATTCGCCACTATTTGAAAACAGTGGCTAATACATTTTGGGCGGTGTTTCTCACGTTTCACGGTCTCAGTTCCCGTAGCCTGAGATTCAGAAATAGATATCAGTTTTGTTCCGCAAAGCTATTTTTGTTAAATACTTCCTGCTTTTCTGAATAAAACGAAAGGGAACTGAGAGACTGGATTTCTTTTGAAAAACATAAATAATTTTCTCAGGAATTAAGCTGTGCAACTGCCTCACGTAGTTTCTATTTACCCGCTTGTGTCGGCAGTAACAATAACCAGTGTACCGAGAAGCCGCGAATGCAAGAACTTTGAGGCCTCTGTTATTATAATTGTATATCATTTGAGTCCTTTATTTTGCGTTTTGAAAAATATTAATACCAGTTTGAGACACAGAGGAACACCGGACATGTCGAGTAATGAATGGGTTTAGATAGATTAAGGATTGTAAACCCGACAAGTTTGAAAACTTACACTTACTTTTGCAAGATGCCGTGCGCCACGTAGCTGTTTGTAAAGTTACTTTTGATTAGTGGTGCAAAAGCTATTTCACTGTATATAAACGCTGGCATTAAAAAAATAGATATGATATAGATATGCTTCCACTCTAAAAACGTAGTGTAGTATATAAAAATTACTATTTATATATCTCGGGAGGAACTTCTACTCATCATGCGGACAATTATTATCAGTTGTGCAATCCGAACCTTTATTTTTCACTTGCAAATGCTTACTTAGTACAACTGAGAAACATGTTAAGCATAAAACGAAGCTGCAATGCAAAATTTATGATCTTAAAAAGGTAAATACAGCTTTAGAAGTGCTTCACGTTCAAAGTCAGAGTTTCGTAATTACAAATAACATAGAAGAGAAATATTTACCTACTACGAAACACGTACTGGAGTTTTTTCGTGCTTGACTTGACTGCTTAACAGTTAACCTATCAAAATATCCTTCGTGCAGCTTTCTGCCAAAGGCCTCGGGATTAGCATTAGAATTCTTTTCAGGTTACTAGTTCGAACCCCAACTAGATCACCAACTAATCAGGGTCTTGAGTGACAGAACTACATTGTAGCAAAATAATCTTGGGTGTGATTAACAGCATGTCTCTTAGAGATCGTGTATTAAAATTAGGTATCCTGTAAATTTTCAGCCGTATATCTTAAAAGTAGCGATCGCAACGACCGCGGAAAATTAGAAGGATTTGTATGGGAAAAACAACTCTTCCCACCTAGTCACTTACATACAAACCCTTATAAATTTGGAAATTTTCAAACTTTTGTAAAATATATCCTTAAGCATAATGGGGCTCATATCTCCTTTTTATTCATAACAGGCAATTTGAGCCCTTAAATGCATAAGGGGAAGATTTAAGGACAGTTTAAAAATGTCCAAATTTACAAGGATTTGTATAGAAAACCACTGGGTGGCAAGAGTTGATCCTTCTAATTTTCGGCGGCCGTTGCAATCGCTCCTTTAATTTGAAATATGCGGCTGAAAATTCACAGGTTATAATTACGTAATGTTAATATGCTCTTTTAGTTACATCTAACAAAATTTTTTAAAAGCGAACGATTTTCGTTTGTTTACAACTATTGCAAAAGGCCTATTTCTGCGCGTGACGGGAAAACGATCGAATTTATGTCACGTAACTATGTGACGTCACAAGTGTGTAACAAACAGACATTCGAGTGAGAGCAATGCGTGTAACTATGGCGTTCGGAATCTTAGAGAGTAGAGAAGCAAACTATGGGATGATTTATCGCGTTTCCATGAGATGAAAATAACCTGCCCTTTAAAGAAATTAAAAGAACCCACCACACGTCTGTTCGAAAGTCGAGCAGGAACCAGTTTCCAAGGAGTTTGTCTAACTTTCTTGAGTGGTGTGGGAGGATGGGAGTGGTGACTTCACTTACATATCAAGAGGTGTCAGTGTGAAAGCGGCGAGCAGAGCACCTCCTTTGAAACACTTTATTTTGCGAACATATGACCTAAACTAGTAATAATCAAAGGTTACGGAGTGCGGGCGACAACGATCGAAGGCTAAAACGCGTTTGCTCCGTCGCTGTGCTTTGCGTAAGTTTCAGGTGACAGATAGTCAAATCACGCGCGACCAGATTACGAGTGATAGAAGGTCAAAACGCGCGTGATCAAATTGCGTTTTGCGCATTCCATTCATCCTAAGTGGAATTTCAAATGAATGCTGGCTACATACATGCGACGCATGCGTAATAACAACCTGGGATTAGGATTGCGGGCTCCTCTTGTCGCCCGCAACAAGAGGTGGGTCTATGGGCTGTTACTTTTGCTAGCCATCGCTTATTACCCGGGTTCTATTCGGGTCACATGTACCGAGCGAATTCGTTAACCTCGTATGCATTACCGTACCAGTGACCGTGAAGGCTTCAAAATACCCTGCAGGGAATCTGGGTTAGGGTGCCCATACAGTTGTTGCATAATAAAAGCAAATACAGGAGTTTTTTACGAGTAAGTGTGAAATTCTGGAGGTGGGGTTGCGGTTGGACGCACGCAAATTGGTTGTTCAAAGTGTAAGCTTAATGTATACAGGCCCCAATTTTTTGGCAAGAATTTCAAATGATGACTGAAATTCGCTAATCGTTATAGCTGTTTGTTCAAAGTTCACGGAAAATTCTGTGTGTTATCTCCTCCAGTGGTTTATGGCCTGGGTAAAAGGTGTGTTCGGAGCATATGATTGACTGACAATATCTCTCGCGAGCAGACCGCGAACAATTTGAATTTTTCCCTCAAAGTAAATCTTGAGGTCTTCTTGTGCCTTAACGTTTAATTATGATCCCGTGGCCAAAAATTGAAAATGAAGGAAATTGGCGAATTTACTTTGTTTGGTTGAATAAATTGGCGTTTCTGACAGAAGGTACACATACGTTTATTTTCCCCCATAATTTTTTATTGAAGTGCAACGGATAGTCAGTCCAAACGTGAAGTGTTAGAAATATGTAATATAAATGAGAAAAATGTCATTGCTTGATTTCTTTTCTTAATCCCGCCACCAATTTGTCAAATATTTAAAATTTTTAGACAAATGGTCACGTGGCATATCACCTGACTTATCAACACAATATTTATACTTTAAATTGTTAAGGACGATGAGGTCTTTTTGATTCAGCTCCATAATCTGTGCTGAAGTTATAGCAATAAATTATTTCCCACGGCTAAACCGATTAGAACCTGACCTTAAACTGCTTGAGACCGGGGCAGGAGCCCGTTATCCCGGTTAAATTTGGCACCGCCAAATTTTTTTTTGCTGTGGTTGGTGTTAAAACCCATGCAACACCTACATAATAAAAAAAAAACTCATAGCGTAGACGTACTTGAGAATAATATTTGCTTAATAAATACCACATGTGATAGCAGGACAAAATTTGCCTTCCAACGATTGACTCTCGTGTGTGATTACTCCGAATCTACTTGTTTATGCATAATCGACAGTCTCCAAGATTCTTGTTTTGTCTTAATTTCATCGTACTTTTACTTATTTAGCAGGCCTAAATTTTCCCACCCTCAAAACCTTGACCTCCAGCTGGGAAGTTTCCACTAAAAATATTCCTCTTTGTACAATACTTGACGCTAATTGGTTAAACAAGTTCCAGTTGTTTGTTCTTTTGGACAGGTAGTCGAAGTAGTAAAAGAAAACATCAACTTAGATGATTATATATCTTGAATTGATTGCCTTTTTCTCTTTCTTTCCACGTTTTTCATGTCAGGCAAGCTCATGCTTTAATGAACTGGAAGTCGTTCGAGGTAATTAGTCGGCTTATATTCCCGGTTTTACTTCCCTGCTCTTGGATCAAGACGTGAAGAGAATGGGCTGAGGAGGCGTCAACTGCAACTTAAATTCGTCGGTTTTGATGTTATGGTTCATCACATCGCGTTCTCAGTGGCCTTCACCGTGGTTTTTTGGCTTCACATAACGCGGCTACATGCGAGACCTACACAGGAAAATCAGTTTGGTAAAATATCTAGCTACCTTGTCGGTAGATTTAGTATTCATGAAGTTAGTGATATGTCACGTCAATAAGTTGATAATTGATTTGTCAAACTTATCAGTGGGGGTAAAAGGATTTTATAACCTATGCAACAGGTCATACAGGAAGACCAATTATTAACCCTGTTCTGGTAATTGAGCTTTGAAGGCCTTACTGTGCAGGTGCAGGATGAAAACCGGACTCGTTTAATCTTGAAATCCAGCCTGATCGGAGTAATATAAAACCTGGTTTCCATATAATATTTAACGGTCTGCAATATTAATTCTAGATCTGCGACACGATCCAAAGCTGACTGTCACTTTAATTTTCAGACTAAAGACGGGTTATCCGTTGGATAATCCTTGTCAGTCTGATAATCCGTCTAATTTGATTCGTCTGTTTATCCGGATAAATAAGTAGAAATAAGTTCATTAATTGCCCTAGGCAGTATTTATAGCACAAAGGCTACTGGTACCGGGCATACAACATAAACAAATAATTTATATAAAACATAACGTTATGATAACAGGCCAATAGGGCGGAGGCAAACCAGTTGGCTACTTACAAGCGTATTCCCCAGGCGAGGATCTAAACTCGCGACTACCGACAACAAATCCAGCTAGCATTCAGGGCTGTACTTGAATTTATAGCCTTTGGATTGCAAGTCCAAGGCTCTAACAGCTCTACCACGGCCATGCTGCCTCATTCCTCCTATAATACAATGTGAAAACGTCCAGTCACTTAAAATGTACAATTTTTTTGTCTTTCCTGGTCCCTGAACAAGGAAACGTTAACACTTTTTCGGATACATACATACATACATACTAACTTTATTCAAGATGTAAACAAGCTTATTTAAGGAAAAACATAATATTAAAAGACACCTTCAAAAGGAAGTTTAGAGGTTAGCCCTATATTAGAAGTCCCAAATAGAAATAGAAAATGCTAAATAAAAACATCAAATACAATACAAGTATTCAATTTAGGATTCTGAGAAACTGCCCGCATACCCCTACCCTAAGCCAATATTTTGTCCTAAGTGAGAAATAAGTGTTAATCTTAGCTTGGGGGAGGGGGTAGGTAGGCAGTTTCCCGGAAACCTAAATTGACCCATTTTTTCTTCTTTAGTTCTTGTTGAAGGTGATATGATGGTAGAAAAAGGGTTCTTTGAAGATAAAAGGACAAAGCGTGGAGCCCTAGTTAGTAAAACTGGGAAAAATTACTATTGGCCTGCTACTGCTTCGGCTAGCAACAGAATTGTAAGAGTTCCGTACTTATTGAATGCTGGATTCTTTGGTACGTATAGCGCGTAAGACTACTTTTTCTCACACTTATTTAGAGCCAGCGTCACCAAGATTTAGAGTGATCCTTGTAAATCGAATCAGGAAAATAAATCACTGGACAGACTGGGATCTCCTCCCAGCTGTAGGAAACAGTAAAAAAAAAGAAGAAGAGAAAAAAAAGAAAACCCAACAACAACATGTAGACTATAGACTAGAAATTTTCGCCACTTTAATACATGAAGGAAACTGGGCCGCAAAGACTTCTGGGACTGTTATTCGGGACAGGGAGAAACTGATTGGCTTATAGCTGTCCAGCACGATCCCAGAAGGAATTGCGGGACACATTTCGGATCCAGTTCCCTTCTCGCTTATAAAGTGACTAAGTAATCCCCAATACGTCATACATCTTTAGCCAGCGGTCTTCTCGTCGGCTATGCAAATAAGACCTTTTTAGTGAGTCTTACATTTTCTTCTCTACGCACGTACGTGAGCAATCCACTGAAGATACTGCACGGTGATGATATCTCTCATGAGTACAGTCTTTTATATTCTCAAGATGTCTTCGCTCTAGTAATCTAAGAGAAACTCTGCATCCTTCTCATCGGAAACCTTCCGGCGCCACACACCCTTCACCATGCCGCGTAGACATTTTGCCGCCCAGCAGGCCTCAAGCTTGAAACAATTTGACGCCTACTTGGAAGCCATGCTTGCCGCGTGCCGTAGACAAGTCGCGAACGAATGCACGCTTTCGCGATCTTTCTTCTAGAAGCCAAGGACACCCTCAAGTCTGTTACTGAACACATCTCTTCATCTTTCTTTTTGACTCTAGGTTCTGGATTGAAACAGGCGTTCAGACAAGCTTCCGACGAGTACCGTAAGAGAACATGTATCAGGTTTGAAGAGAAAACAGACGATGACGAGGATTACATTGAAATTATCAGCGGCACAGGGTAGTGAAATACTTATTCCAATACCAAGTCAAACTTCACTTTTTAATAACACTAATGAAAGTACCCCCTACCCATTCTGGTAAACCGCAGCTTAAGATTATCTCTGGCCTCCAGAGAGACATGTTTTACCCATAATCACCTTTTAGGTTATTAGGACTGGCCAGAAAAGCGATTATGGAACGCGCTTTGGTTGCATGAAACCGACCTAACTCTATTTCAATAACAAGTTTACAGTTTTATCCCCTTGTAAATTACAGAAGAAACCTACACAAATCAAGGAGACCGTCGTACTTCTCTCTATAACAGACCCATTGTAATCTATATCTTCACCGGGTTCTCGGAGGAAACTTCGTCCGGTTTGCTTTTTTTCCCACTGTTTTTTTTTTTTTCTGTATCTCCCATAAAAACTGAAACAGGTGGCAGATCTTCACCGGTATGAAACCCGTAAAAACCTTTTAGATATTGCTCTAGCGAGAAGAACTAAAAGATTTGCACCTTTTTATGCGAGAACGATTGCCTGTATCCTCCTGTTTCTTTTGTCAATGTTTTCCCTTCTTTTAAACAAAAATATGAATAACGAAATGCATAGGTTCTGTTACGAGAGGGGTGTAGAAGATGCCTCTTTTCCATAGGTGCTGGTCTCAAGTTGGAAAACGCGGAGGCAAACAACAGCTATCACTTGGTTCAGGGTGTGAAAACAAAGGACGAGCTATCCATGAGCTGATGCACGCTCTTGGTTTCCTCCATGAACAGAGTCGACAAGACCGGGATGAACATGTGATAATTCTATATCAAAACATTCAAGATGGTGAGTGTACGTTTGACTGTACAGTACAGTGAAGCTATCCTCAAGTGACAATATTCACCCTTTGAGTTTGAGGCAAGCCAAAACGTGTGTTAATAAGTGTGCTAAACTCAAGTTCGGACTGCATAGCCCTCTTTGCCTTGTATGTCTGTTCAGTCGTGATCCCGAACGAGTTCTCGATCTTTAGCCAGGGGTCTTGTTGGCAATGCAAAAAAGACCTTTTACGTGAGTCTTACGATTATTTTCTTCTCTACACACGTGAGCAATATTCAGGATGTTGAGTGTGTGACTTAAATAAATAAATAATGATTTGGAGGTAGCACATTCACAAAGTAGTTCTTCGTCTACCTGATTCCTGATCGAATTGGAATTTGAGTTGCCTCTTATCGAAAACGGAATGATTAAGAAGTAAAAAAATATATAACATGAATATCTCATTGATTTGACTTCACAAATCTAACTAACACATCACAGGGGGATAGAGAAAGCTACTTCGTACCTTTAAACGTGAGACGGTACAATTTTTAGTGGCGAAAAACCTTACCGTAAGTCACTTTACCGCCGGAAGCTCTTCCTGCCGTTCAAACGTGAACTGCAATTATCGAATTTTTTTGCAGGGAAAGACTCCCAATTTAAAACACGTCATCAAGAGACCAACGACTTGCCTTATGACTTTCACTCCATCATGCACTACAGCAAGACGTTCTTCAGCAAAAACAACCAGCCCACTATTGCGGCACGCATTGATCCAGAAATGAACCTAGGACTAAAGGATAGCTTCTCTGCTTTAGATGTTGTCCGAGTAAACATGCTGTACGAATGCCCACAGCTACAAACCAACTGTAAGTACATCCATTGTTTTTGAACCAGCCATCCCCTGGGGGTCACCCCCTAAATGGCCTATACGGGGACACAACTGACGGGGAAGCCCTCCCCTCCCCCCCCTCCCCCGGAAGGGGTTCCTTTTTTATGCTATGCTTCCGGTATATCGAAGGGCTAGAGAATGGTCGGGTTGAAGTATATGCACAGTTAGGGCAAACTTTCATTTAAGTATTTTAAAGGACCTTTAATTAAAATGTTTCGAAAAGACGTCACACGAAAATGGCAAGAAGACGTTCTGTTTTAACGTTTTATTCTTATTAAGTAGGTACGTTAAAGGGCTTCCATTTTTCAATGGAAAGTACGCGAAAGGGGTACCTTTTCTGACAAAAATGATATATAAAAGGATAAGGGCCTGGACCTTGGGGCGGAGCTTCCCCGTTCAGGGAGTTATTATAACTCCAAAAATGGAGTAAAAATTTTAGGTACAGGATAACCCCTTTTATGGAGTTACTTTAAATCCTGATTTAACTCCAAATTTAGGGTCATTTTTACCCCTGATGAAAAAGAGTTCTTTTACTCCCAGTCTGGAGTTAAAATAACTCCGAAAATGGGGTTATTTTTACTCCTTACTTGGGTTGTTTTTACTCTTTTTGTAGTTACGTCAACTCTGAAAATGGAATAAAAATTTTAGGTACAGGATAACTTCTTTTTTGGGGTTATTTTAACTCCTCAATATCTGGGGACATTTTTACTCCTGAAAAAGAGTTCTTTAAACTCCTTTTTGAAGTTAAAATAACTCTCCCAAAAATAACTCCACTGTAAGGAGTTAAATTAACCCCACTAGAGGAGTTATTATAACTCATTAAAAATTACTGTGTATAAAGCTTTGTTGAGTAGTTCCCCCTCCTCCATCCCCCGGCTGCCACCCTAAGAGAACTTTGATAGTCTTACAGGGTCCTTCCTCTCAAGAAACAAGATACCATAGCACTCGAGTATTTCAAGTCGAGAAATCTGAAATCTACGTCCGTAGTTCCCAAGAAGATTAGACTTTAAAAATTTTTTATTTGTTTGTTTTCTTAAAACCTTTATTTTGATGTAAACAACAATCTCCTAATGCAACATAAAATTGCTAGAACAATCTTTATATAAAAAATCTACAAATCTCTACAATATCTCGTGCTCCCTGCTCTTACACTTTTCTTGGAAACTGATGAATATACTGTCGTAAAATTACAAATTTACTTGCCCTACAGTGAAGTTATATTTCGTTACTGTGGTAACTGCTGACGTATCATTGGCTGGGACGGACTCTAAAGTTGACATACTTCTCAATGGAGGAACAGGTGACTCGGGTGAGATAGAACTTGGACAAACTACTCAAGTACCAGATCCCTTCGAAAGAGGAAGGTGGGCTAGTTTTTCCAGTTGTTATTAAACCGTACCTCATAGGGGACCAGTCATAATTTATTTCCTGGGGGGCGGGGTCCGGAGAATTTTGGGCTTTAAACGGTGAAATATGGCTGATTTCCCCCTTAAATGTTATTTTGCTGAAGTGATCCCCCCTCATAACTTTTAATAGCTTTTGTGAATCCCCCGCAACGTTTTCGCACCCATACTCACCTTTCGACGTGTATATTTAGTGGGTTTTTTTAGGTGCAAAAAAAAATCATCAACAAGAAGAAAGGAGAAAATGCGAGTAAGGTCCGAAAATCCCAGGAGAAGCGAATCGAGCTGAGCGCACGTCAGCTATTAGGAAACAGGTCTATCGAGGTCGCGGGACAAATTTTCGGTTCAATCGAAGAGAATGATAAAGTTACCCAATGCTGACTTTGCTAGGAAACTAACAAGGCGTTTGCATCTGGACTCTTTACTTTGGCTACTAGAAAAAGTTATTTTTAGCACACCCTTCACAGAAAATCTAGAACAAGTAGCGGCCGTTTCAAGAGCACAAAGTACAAGTCAACCTGCCGTAAAGCCGGACTAAATGTTGTTGTTGTTGTTGTTGAATCGGACGGTCAAACTCAGGAGAGGTCTCAAGAGGCAAATGAAGTCATCGAATCTGATGACGAGGCTCCAGACGCATATGAAGAGATGAAATGGATGATTAGGCTCAAGATGAGACAGATGAGGCGGTTAAATTCGTTTAGTATAGAGTCGAGAAACGGGAACCCATCTCTCACGATGACGCTAAAGACTATTTAACAATGATTCAGACCTAGGCCAAACGTCGAAGTTTTCATGAGACGAACCAAACTTAGTGAGTTAAGTTCATAAAAAATTCGACGTCTGGCTCAGTTAAGTTCGTCTGCTGAATGAGTTTGGATCGTCCAACGCGTTCTATCCGTCTGCTTCAAAGTTGTGTCTGAACAAAATAGACTGCAAACACAATTGACCTACCAGCGGAAAAATGACGCATTTTTTTGTATGCTCTCAAGGTTTGAGCTTGGGTGACAAAACGTGCAACATCGCTTTCCAACTCTCTGTGTAGCAATGCTGAAAAACAAGTGGCACATTTTTGTTGTCCGTTTTACCGTAGCTTAAGGTGAAAAACTGAACGCAGCACGTGTGTGTAAGGCAGTTTCTTTATCACGGTTTACGTGACGTATAGTATTCAGTTGCTGATTTTAAAAATTCTTCTTTCTCAGCACAATAACATTTCCGGTGATTTCTCCCGACATTGGTACTTTTGAATCGCTTAGGATCCGCCTGCAAGCGTCTTCCTGGTTCAACTGGTGGTATCCTAATGCATGGGATCTGGAAAGAGTAAGTAAATGAGTTCTTTTTAATTAAGTCACCTGTAAAGTAAATCGCAGGTCCACGTATACAAACTCTGCTTTTTGAATGACCTGAGAAATACTTAAATTTGAAAACTGGGCATCTTTAATTTCAGAAAGAGGGAAGAACTGAGTCGACAACAATTTAGGAATATCGGAAGAATCTAGGAAACAACTAGCCATCCCCCCCAAAATAGTACTGAAGCCCCCCGCCCTAAATAATAACTGCTCCCTAAGCGTTGCGCGTCCCTGTTCTCACGATTGGTCAATTTTTTACATTTGCATCATTTTCAAATCGAGACAATTTCAATGAAAAAGCCTACGTACGCTTGAAAAAATATATTTCAGCAGTAGAATGCTGTTTGAATGTCCAATTATAACTGGCACAGTTGCAATTTGTTTTACTTTTAATAAACTAATCATTTTCTCCTTAGGTGGAAATCGAAACTCCAGATTACAGGAGGACAAAGAAGAAGATAATTCTAAATTTCAACCGATGGATTTATCCTGGCGATCGTATCAGAATGACAGAACGTTGAAGCTAACCGATCAGGGATCAGAACTGTTTGCGCTCTAGGCTTTTGATCCCGTTAGCTATGTTTGAGCCAACTTCAAGAAAACTCCTTCACGTTTTCGGACTGGTTCAAAGCCACCTTTGCTCGAAGGCGTGTGGGCCGTATCTGCTTACGTAATTCTATTCTTCCAGGCCTTTAGATAGTAGGGAAGGAGGGGGTAGAGGAAAGCCGTTCTCTTCTTTCTCTCTCTCCCTCTCTTCCGCTTTTTTTTCTTTCCGCAGTAAGTTTCGTGCCTTCCCCTACCTCAGGTATGCGTGGGTCAACCTATATGAAAATGAGGGGAGTGGTCTATCTCCTTCATTATTCAAGATATTTGCCAATTCGATAAATCATCTTAACATGACGTTGTCACAAATGGGTTTTGCAATAATCATAAAACATTGATATCGCCTAGATTTACCTCACTGATTCCAAACAAATTTGGAAAAATGCTTTAGATGCCAGAAACAATAATGTCTCAAGTTCTCATTGAAGACGTTGTTTCTAGAGTGCAGAATTTCCAAAGAAACAAACCCGAAGTAAAAGCATGAATAGTCAGGCAATGGTTACCATGGAAACACTATCGTGAATAAAGCTCACTCGCCAGTTTAAGGTCGTGGCCTAGTTTCATGATTCTTGAATGTTTCCTTTCGTAGATAGCCCACACCTTTAATTTCTTTACAGAATAATGCGTGAACCACTCCTTAACTCGGCCTGAGACTATCTGAACGCCTGTAACAGGCAACTATATGCTTTTTCTGTTTGGAATAAAAGATATTAAAATGGTCATCAGTCTATGCCATGGAAGTCTAGGAAATTATTCTGACTGCTATATTTGACAAAAGAATCAATTTTCTGAAATATTAAAATTTATTTTCTTTTTAAACTTGCCGTTACGGACTTATTATTATAATTATTTATTATTTATTTATATTACACCACCATTTCTTCAGTAAGATTACAGGATTACTGTCAATTTGAGATAAACTTCAAAGTACCATAATCACAATACAAGATATCTTAATCTTGAAAAACAATACAGTTTAAGTTGAAGAGTAATAGGTGATATAGAGGGATCAAAAGAGTGGGTGGTGAGGAGACCTCATAGAAAGCCAAAGGCTTGTACGAGGAGGTCCCCGCATAAAATGGTCAGCATTGATTGACCATTGCCTGCGGCCGACTCCGAAGCATCCCGCTGCACGCTAGCCTGCGAGCAAGCTCTCCTAATTGGGCTAGCCTGTGTAGTAGGTGCAAGAAAGAACGGGCGCGCGCTCGTTCGTTCTTTCTTGTGCCCACAACTTCCAAGCGCCTGCTACGCAAGCTATATTTGGGCGAGCGAAGCGATCCGCGCGAAAACGCGCGAGCGAGCGGCGAAATCCCCGCCTCCGCGCTTTCTCGTCTCCTCTCGGTCGCTTCTCGCGCGTCTGCTTTTCACCATATCCCCCAAATGGAGAGCTTGCTTGAAGGCTAGCCGCACGCGAGTAAAACCCTCTGGTACCCAGGGCACTGAACAGTGTGTGAACACTAGCGGTGGGCGATCTACAAGTATCGGCACCAACAATTTCTTTTAAACAAAGACACACTCACAATCTGGCTTTGTTGTCAAATATCGTATGCGAAATGAGATGAGTCGGGGTCGTGAAAAAAGGTCTCTTTTCTTAAACAGTGAAGGTCAGGGTTAAAGTAGCTCGCCTTGCAGGCACCTAGAAACGCAAACGGGTCAGTGTAAGGTTAGCCTCCCACGCAGACGTTCTTAGGGGTTCGTCACGCGTTCCTGCCCCACGAACGTGGAGCAGAAACGCGTGACGAACCCCTAAGGAGGGGGGCATTGGGGTATATTAGAAACCGCAAAACCGAAGGAAAAAATCATCCAAAACCGCAAAACCGCAAAAAAATTTGGCCAAAACCGAAAACCGCATACAAAACCGTCAAAACCGATACAATGGTGACAAGTGGGGCATACAGAGCAAACTAAACTAACACTAATTTCACCAAAGTATTTGTGAATGTCATGGACTTTGTCTGAAGCCTTCGTATCTTTTTGTGTCTGCTTAAATCATAGGCTTTGTTTCTGCCGCTCTCTCGAGCCCAGACTTTGCGGCTCAATTTCCGAAAAGCCGCTAGTTATGGAGCCTAGTTAACTTAGGAGAATTTGCACACAAGTCCTCTTTAGAATTGCAATTTTGCAGTCGCAAAAAGCTATAGCTTTGGAAACTTCAATCGAAAATCTCTAATCGAACATTTCCATTTGATAACTAATACCTGAGAGTTTGGAGACTCGACTGTCTAACATGCGATTGCACTGAGCTGAGTCGACACTGAGGAAGCTAACCTGTACGACTGGTTCCTTTTCAGTTTTACATGGCAGCAGGAACTTGCTCTAAGGTTTAATGTGGTAATAAACAGATACTCAAAACAGCAGTCGATTATTGAACCTCACTGCCCTTCCATATCGCGACCTTGCACCAAAGAGAAAATTCTTCGATGCCCCTAATTCATCTTGCTGGCCCTGAGAATTGTTGTCATCTGCACTGACTTCAACTTCTTCGTCACTACTTTCATCAAATTCTTGCTGGCCTTCGCTAGAGACACTAGCTTCCTCACTCACTTCACGCTCGTTCAAATCTTCGTTGGGTCCTTCATCTTCATCAACTCCGAAGTTCAGATTAACCTTATCACCAACTTCGAGATGGCGTTGATAAAGATACTCTGGCAATGTTCCGTGCTTAGCCATTGTAGTTTCCTGCCGCACTGTCCTTTGTCTTACTGCAGCACCATATGCTTAGGCCCAGTTGCGTAAGAGGTCACAGTCATTTGCAGGAAGGCTGACAACGGACAGAGGCATCATCAACGGTACGTTATGAAGAGACACCTTTATGTCGGGCTTTGGGTACCAGGACCTTCGACTGGTGTGATAGTACGCAGCCCAGCTTGTAGCACGTTTGACGCTCTCCTTCATTGTTGCACCAAACGACCTAGCATATTCGAGCGTAGACACCTTCACTTTCTTGGAATGAACAGTGGCATGGCAATTTTCAACGTCTAAAGTCATACAGCTTAAAAGATCAAGCGCTTTGTAGTCATACTCTCCTAGAATGTCTGCTAGTCTTCCTAGTCCCCATTCCATTAATTGGACAGAGTTTACTGTTTTTGCAGAGACATGACCTTGGGGACCATTTAGGGCGTCAGTGATGTTACTCTCAGCACGTATTTGATATGCATGCTCTTCAAGTACAGTTTTGCAATGGCGAACCAAACCAATGGCTTCTTCCGTTGCTGGCGCGGGAGGCACGTTGGAAGCCATAGCTCGCAAACTGACCAAATGGTCGCCCTCAGTCTGCGTGGTCAAAGTCTCGCCGGGCGTCAAGGGAGACGCTTGATCCTCTACCATGACATTTATTTTGTCACGCATTCCTTTAAATAACTTTGGCATTTCGCGGCTATTCGAGATCAAGTGCTACTCAAATCGAACAGAAACCGAAACCCAAAATAGGACAAAATAGGAAAAACCAAAAACCACATCGGGTACCAAAGCCGAAAAACCGCTAGTATTTTCAGGAAAACCGAAAACCAGATGCTAGAAAACGAAAAATCCGCAAACCGCAATGACCACCAAAACCGAAAAACCGAAGTCTTTTGCAACAAAAACCGAAAAACCGATCTAAAAAATAGCCAAAACCGCAAAACCGAAAATCCCAATGTCCCCTCCCTAAGAACGTCTGCGTGGGAGGCTAGTGTAAGGTCTGCGAACAGCGAAGCAGCGTCGAGATCCTTGTTCTGGGCCGCCAACGGACTCAACGAATTACGGGAAGTGCGTTCCGAATTGATTGGCAAGAAGACAATTTTTTTTTAACAGGCCAAACATGGTGCGTAAACCAAATCTTGGAACACAAGTGGGGACCCAGAGCAAAGATTTCGGCGTTATTTCGGCCATGATGAAGGCTACACAGGCTAGGTTTGAGATCTTCAGCAGCACACCACTGCTATATCCAAACTTTCCTCAAGTGCTTCCCTTGGACTTTTAATCAAGTCGGTGCTTCCTACACCTTCTAAGGTGTACCTGATTCCCCGTGATTGTGCTCGAATTTTAAAAGGCTGTATTTAACTAAGATAAAAGGGACGGCGACGGACACGAAAACGTCGCTTAAAAAGCGAATTCGCGTCCTTTGAATCTCTTTCGCGATCAATCCAACCTGCTTACTTTGTCAAATGAAAGCGAACTCTTCTGCAGCCGAATACCTAACAGCCACTATCCAGGGTTAGAGGAAAAGAAAATTTGGCCCTGGCTTGTTTACGTCCTCTATAAAACGTGAAATTAGGCATGTTCACGTATTGGTCGTACAGTGACAGTAAAGAAATTTACAAAAAAGCATGCTACACGTGCAAAGTTGTTGTTTTGCCTTGTCAACCTATTCCTTTTCCACGTTTTCGTTGTCGTCGCCGTCTGTGAGCAGACGCCACCATGAAAATGAACAAACAATCTTACCGGTCAGCTGCCCTCTCCATTTTGCGCAAGTCACAGTTTGCCGGGAAGTATCGCGGGAAGAGAAAAATTGCACATGGAGTAACAGTCAAGTGAGGGAAAAAACTAAGATAAATCGCAAAATAATTGGTCAAGATGGATATACCGCAACTTGCCACCATCCTATCGAGTACGTTTGACCCAAACTTGAGAGAAGAAGCCGAAAAGAAGCTAAACGAGGTGAGTGTTCGAGTTACTTTCGTCCCTTTAAGGGCTTACTCGATCATCTCACGCGATATTATTCGCAAGCAAAAAGCCAGAATTTCACTGAAAATTTTGTGTTCGGCTTCTCAGGTCTTACGATTTGAGTCCAAATTGATGGATTTAAATATAGCCATTGTGAAAAGTCTCTTTGATTGCGCTCTCGAGCAAGAACTGTACACGTGAAGTAAGAAAACTGATCTTTTGGAAAACGACATGGGTTTAATAGGCATGAATCCAAAGATTACCTCAACGAATATCCATGCAAAATTTTTTAATTTTTTTTTCTCATAGATTCACAAAGTTCCGGGATTTCTGACGCTTTTGCTACAAGTAGTTATGTCAAATGATGTGCAGATTCCTGTGAGACAATCTGGTAGGTAATAATTAAGCTTAATTGCGAAACAGTTAAAATTTACATATAGCATGATGTACGTTTTAACTTAGGTATGTTTACACTTGAATCAGGATAGAACAAAGTCTTAGGCTCTATTCTCGGTTTGCACTGTCACACAATGAAAAATAAAAATGCAAACCATTCAATACAGAAGGACTACAATCTGGGAAATAAAAAAAGATAAATATACAAAACCCTTGTGAAGAATCAGGTCTGTGAAATATTTCAAATGCGAGATATTGGGAAAAAAGGTTTACCTAAATTTATAAAGCTTTTTATGGAAACGCCATGTTGGTGTCCCTTTCAGGAACACCAATATGGCCGCCGGATACCAACAGAAACATCTGTTTTCGAGTTTCCCTACTAATGCGTGAATTCTTCGCTTGAGGAATTCATAAAGATTACAGTAATATTTATTCTGAGACAAGGAATGTTTAGATTGCAAAATCTCCCAAAATTGGTAATGTTTTTAACTTACATAAGAGCTTTCCCGGCCGCCAGCTAAATGCCGCGTCACGCAAAAGTCTGGAAATTCAAGCGTCCTGTCTCGCAAAACGATGAACCCTTTCGAACCAAAAATTTGTTTATGTAAAGATGTTTAGGTACTGTAATACCTCATGAAAGCAGAAACTCAGAAGAATCGATAGTTTCTTAGTTTGATTTTTGGTGACGTCACGTGCAACTCAAGAATATTTTACAGCACTGCCATTTGGTATGTCCTAATTCAGCCATTTTGGAGACTGTTTCACCACTACTGTTCTGCCTAACTTCCTGCAGATGTTGAGGCTGACTCATGTTTTTTTTATTGACAGGTCGATCATTAAAAAAAAATTAAGTTAAAATTGTGTCACCAGGGCCCAGTTGCGAGGAAGGTTTTGTAGATGATGCTAACCCCTGGATAAATCACTACCCACCAGATAATTAACAATCTATGACACAATGCATTATTGAATGAGGCTGTGAAAAATTATGCAGGTCAAGGAGAATGTTATTCATTGATAACAGCCCCCGAGATGTGCCTAACACTCCACATTATACGAAAGCCAAATTCAATTACATTGTTCTGTTATTCATTTAAAATAATCTAAGTAAACAACCAAGTGTTCTCGTAGGCTTTCCTACAACATTTGCCTGTTTCTTTGCATGGTTTCAGGATATAAACAGATGTTTTTTCTTACAAATACTCCTTAACAAGCAGATAACATCCACTGTGCAATATTTTTTTTGGTTACTATCCCATTTCTTTAGCTCAGTTTTAGTCAGAAATTCAGCTATTTGATCTTTGGAATCTTGAATGACATTTTCTTTAGTATCCCCTGGCATAAATAGCTGCATTGTAAGCTGCCATGTTCTAAAGCTCTGCTCAGCTGAAGTGGTTATTGCCTGGAAATGAGCTGCTACCAATATAATATCAAATCGATGGGTTATTACATGTATGTTCTTCTTCTGGTTATGAAGAATCAGCCTGATATTGCAGCCAATCAGAAACAGAAAATATTCTGAATGAATAACAATGCAAAATCATTTGAAGCAAATTTTTTCTTTCTTTTCATTGGCTGAGAGCCCACCATGTGACCTGCAAATAACTGCCTACAAATAATGGTCTGCTCATGCGCAATGCCGTCCAACTGTGTTTTGCTGCAACTAATATTCCGCTCGTGCATAAAGGAAACCGTGCTTTCTCCTTCTTGTGATTGCTCTTGCGTGAAAATGGCAGATTGCTTTGCTTCCCAAAGATATTCATTGTAAAAACCAACTCGGTGATCGACTGATAAAGCTCGGTTATCGCAAAATATCGTGATTTGTCAGTGTCTGGCAGATCAATTATTTGCCTCAGCCTTCGGCTTCAGCAAATAATTGATCTGCTCGCCACAGACAAATCACGATATTTTGCTCAACTTCGTCCAATAATATTGTTAATTATTGGTTTCTCAAACACTTATCCCCTAGACAGCACTACCAATCATAGAGTTGAACAGTGCCCAGTACTCAAGTACAGGCCTAATACAGGTGTACATGTATGAGTTTGAGAATGAAAGTAATAATTCCCTGCAGGTGGGATTTACCTGAAGAACATGGTCTCCCAGTTTTGGAAAGACAGGGATCCATCTGAGCTTATTGATGGTGTGCAACCTTATGTGATTCCCGAACAAGACAAAGTTATAATCAGAGAAAATATTGTTGAAGCTGTGATCCATGCTCCTGAATTAATAAGGTAGAGAATATTATTGCTAATGATTTATCTGTTGGGATTCTAACCTCTGAGTGTCTATGAATAAGGAAGGGGACATTTGGGGGATACCCAATACTGCAATACCATAGGAAAAAATTAGCAAATACTGAAACACCGTGTCGAAAATCAATGAAATACTTATACCACATTTGTGATCGGTCATGCTTACCATCAGCAGCCTGTTATTACTGGTTATTACTGATACAAAATATTGCACATGTACATTTAATTACATTTGTATTTCAGTATAAAGTTTAGAAATAAATTTTATTAGTACAAACTTACTTTACATATACTGGTACATATACCATGCACCCTGAATGTAAGGCAGAGGGCATAAAACAGCAATAAAGCCACATATTAATGTTGGTGGACCTGTTTGCCACCAGCTCACCGATATTAATTTGACCAACAAACTTTAACGGGAGTTACATGTGTTACTCACTTTTTTTGTGTATTTCTTTGGGCGTTTTTGCCAGGGGAATGTGACTCTACAATGGGGTGAAAAGGGTTTGGGTCTCTGGATTATTATTAGTAAAACTGGTACCTCCCCTCCCCTAAACAATGCTGAAGTTTGAGCAAAATGGGTGGAAATGATTTTCTGGAGGGGGGGGGGGGATGCAACATTGCTGGTAGGAGATGGGGTCAAAAAGTTATCAGTAGAATTAGACTCCTATGTAATAATTTACTTGAAAGAGTTTTTCAAACTGTCCCAAGTTCTTTTGACCTCCATTGCATTTTGTAGCTTTGATGCTGAAAATGTCAAACTACTCTGGTTTGTCCCCTTCTCCCTGCACTAACAGGGCTTGACATCAGGAGTTGTCGTATGGTTTTTTCGAATGTTGTATAAGCAGCATGGAAAGAGTAACAACATTACATTTCCATGTACACTGTACATAGACCCAAAATGGTTCTTTGTGTCCAAGTTAGGGTTGATGTATTATAGTGTTGCGTAAACGTCTTAACCTTTTAAGATTAATAGTTACAGTATATGTACCTCTGTCGATTGATTTGAACTTTTCTTCAACTGCCTTGAAAAGGCTGAGTCAGTAAGAGCCAGCTGCCGGCTAATTTCACTGGCTGAAAAAAAGAGCTTACCACCGGTTCAAATTCTGCTCTGGAAAGCATTGGGTAATTTTGAAGATGCGGTTGAGTAAAAAAGCCTGCTTGTTGACTCACAGTCTGGCCTGCTTAGCTTTTCTTTAGCAACACTCCTGACTTGGTACAGCTATATGGAAACTGCATGTACTCGGGCCAAAAAGAAATAATTAGCAAAATAATTGAAAAAAGTCTTGGGATTGTTCTCAGCTCAAACAATAGTCCTGCTGCTACAATCAGGGACAAAAGTAGTTGACACACTGTCTTGTTTAAAACGGGTGCTTTTAACAAACATTTCATTCATCTATTATTTCATTCTTTTTAAACGCCGTAAATCTCCTCGCCCCCCGAAACAATGTTGTCTGAAGTAAAAAAAAGACTTGAGGGTCCAAAATTCAACATTGATTTTGGGGTGGAAGGGGTTGGAGTAGACAGGGGAAGGGGATAAGTATATCCACTATGCAAAAAGGGGCCATTTTACGGAAGTGTGTCAACACTTTTGTCCCTCATTGTAGCTATATTCCACTTTCATTCTAGATTACAGCTGACTGTATGCGTGAGCCAAATTCTTCGCCACGACTTTCCTGACAAATGGCCAGGAGTTATCGACAAGGTGAATGGATACCTGGCTGAGAACAGTCGAGCAACTTGGATGGGGGCTCTGCTTACTCTGTATCAGATTGTCAAAAAATATGAGTAAGTTGAAATAATTTATACTTCCCTTTACAACACATACAGTGTACTTGTATGTTACTTTACGCGCTTTTGATCATATTTACATGGAAAAGGCGCGTTAGAAATTTTTAATTATTATTATTATTACTTAACCCTTTCAGCCAGCTACAGTAGGTACTACAATCATCATCAAAAGTGTTGGGAAAGCTGCTACTTTTTACCTCTCTTTTCCCTTCTTCCCCCTGGGCCCAATGTTGAGCAAAATTTTAATGTTGTGCGTGTTCTGTTATAAATTATCCCAACATTGAATGGGGGACAGAGTTTTTAATCATAAGAGAAAAATCTATTTTTTGAGGATTAAAGTGGACTACTGTTAAGTTGTACAACCTTCCCAACTACTTTTGTCCGGGATTGTAGTTTGGAGAATTGTTTTTTTTATTCTATTTAAAATAAGGTTGCCAGTAACAGTGTGAGATTTTATTAAGGAAATTTCTTTTGAAGGTTTTTTGCATAGTACTATCAATTTTTTTCCTGTAGTTTATGAAATGAGATTTGAGTTTTTGTTGTACTTACAAGTGTACATGTAGTGTTTGGGCATTCTTGGGATTCAAATTATTTTAAAACTCTAACATGAGGATACATCTTCACACTGTCCATTTTCCATACTTTCCTTTGAGAGTACAGCGCTGTAGGCTGATTTAGCAGCAGAACGGGAACATCAGTTAATGATGGTGTTCGCAAGTCAAAAAACTTGCTTGACCAATGGCAGAGTGGCAAATTGAGCACCGGTGGTTGTGTACAGACCTCTTCCATGTGCTTTCCCGTCATCAACTGATGTTCGTGTTCTGTTGCTAAATCATCCTAGTGATGAGGAGAATCTGTTTAAAAATCAAGACTTTTTTTACATGTACTTGGTGATCATTCCTTTATTCTCACAGCCTTTATGTTTGACGAAGCATTGATACTCTGCATTATTTTGTGAAATCTCAGGCGAAAACGTTCCTTACGAACTAACACACAGCATGCAAACGCACGACAAGTGAAAAGATGAGACACAGATAGCCAAGCCCTTCGAAACGGATGACAATTTCTTTGAACGGATAGCCCGAGCCGTTCGAACGGCTTATGAACAGCATACTAACGGCTATCGGTTCAAAAATGGCAAACCATAAGGAACGTTTTCGTGTTGAGGTCACATTTGTTTACACTGTATTATGACCCACTCTTATTTGGCTTGCTGGCGTAATTGGTTAAAGCACTGCCCCAGGATTGCCGAGGTCAGGGTTTGAGTCCTGGTAAGCCTGAATTTTTCAGGTCTTCTTTTTGCAACTGGATAAGTTGTCTTCAACTGCGTTAATCTTCTTTACATTTATTTATTTGGTTCATTAGAATAATAGTTGTCACCTATATGTGTACATGTAAGAGTTAAATGGGTGAAACCTCACTCTTATATTATTTAAACCCTTTTTTCATCCAGATATGACTACATGTACATGTAGATGCCACAGGTGAAAATTAAATTCAGGAAAAAATTTTTTAAACTAGGTTGATTTGCCATTTCCTTCGCCTCCCGGCCCTAATTATTCATGAATTAGGGCCAGGAGACAAAGGAAATTGAGAATCAACCCAGTTTGAAAACTTTTGTCCTGAATTTAATTTTGACCTGTAACATCTACATGTACATGTAGTCATATCTGGATGAAAACGAGGTGTACCGGTACATGTACTTTTTTTACGAGTGTCTTACTGTAGGTGTAATGTTAAATCCACTAGTTTGTAATGCATAGGGTTTTGCTTACTTTTAGGTTTAAGAAGCCTGATGAGCGCCAAGTTCTCCACAGAATCATGCAAGTTCTTTTACCTCAGCTGTACTCAAGATTCACCTTGGTCATAGAAGATGGTTCACAGCCATCAGTAGAAATTCAAAAACAGATTCTCAAAATATTTTTTGCTCTCATTCAGGTTAGTGATCCAGAAATTTTTCTGCCATGGTAATGTGACGTCACACTTATCCTCTGTATTAAGATATCTGAAAGTGGACAAATACACTTTGATAATATTGTTTTGCAGTATGTCCTTCCTATGGAAGTGATCACAGCACAGTCATTTGGAAAGTGGATGCATGTATTTCAAACTGTGGTTGCAAGAGATGTTCCACAGGTCAGAATCTCTCCTCAATAAAATGTAGATCTTACATACTGAATTAATCTCAATTATCCTTATTGTTATAGCTGTATGTATCCTGTATTGATGTTGTATTTTTGTCAATTATTGAGAGAGGTTGTGGAAATCATTATAGAGCGGTTTTCACTTGACTGTCAAAAGGGATTGGTTTTGGTTTTGGTTTTGGTTTTACTACGCCCTTTGGTTGGCTAGTGTATTTACTTTGGTTTTGGTTTTACGACAGTCAAGTGAAAACCGCTAACGATTCATTACTACTGTTTATTGATGGCTATTAATCAGTGTTAATCAGTAAAGTTACATCTTGTAATAAAGTATGATTTTTCAGGTGGCGTTGGAAGGTGATGGAGAGGAGCTGGCCAAGCTTCCATGGTGGAAAGCCAAAAAGTGGGCTTTACATATTCTGTGCCGAGTTTTTGAGAGGTAAATAAAAATTAATGCTTTGCACTGATATACAGTACATGCAAACTTGAACAAGTGAGTCTAGACTGTGAACAGTCTCTCTTGTTCTTCAGATTTAGTGAGGGATGTACAAGCGTGTGCTAGCCGCCATCAGCAGGCACATGGTCATTTTCATGTCCTGCATCAAAAAAGAGAGACTGCTAATAGTCTAGAGGGAGTCTTGATCAGTGGATCGATAAAAAATATTCAAAATGACTTGCTGTAAATTAATGTAAAAATTATTTATCATGGTGGTGATAGAGGGGACTAAGTGAGGGATCGAGGGCTGTAATATTCAATAATGATTATACTTGATTTGAAATGGAAGTTAGTAAAACTTTATCTTGAGGGATCCAGGGGCAGATTGTCTGAACATCAGAATTTTTATGGGTGAATGTGGTTGAAACCTTTTGCCTATAAAAATCCTGTCATCTTGACTAGCTACCCCTACTTTTGTGGGGACTGTAACACTGCTGTTATTTTGTAGCACAAAAATAGAAAAATCTATGGATTGCCACTGATTTGATTTCTAGGTATGGAACACCTGGCTCTATAACTAAGGAATATGAACAATTTTCAGAGAATTATTGCAAACATTTTTCAGGTAAGACAGTTCTGAATTAGCTAATTAGTGTAATGTTCAGTGTTATTTAATCAGCATACCGGTGTATGGTTTGAAACTACAGCTGTAGCTGAGTGTTTTTAACATTGATAACAACAAACGAAATGCATGTACTGTACTTGCGAATAAGGATGCGTACATTGTAACTGGCATTATTAACAAGATGTGACACAGCCCCTTTGAGCTACATTGTACATTAGTTTAAAACAAGGACAGTTGTGTTCTGTATCTTTGGACACTTGAAATTGGCTTACCCCTTGTGGCCTGGTTTGGGGTCTTGATATCATTTTCTATCAAAATTAACTTGTTTTTCTGCTTCCTTAATAACAGCCTTCTTTTCTGTTTTCTGTAGCAAGCGTGACACAGATTCTCCTTAAAGTCTTGGATCAGTACAGACAAAAAGTGTTTGTTGCTCCACGTGTTCTTCAACAGACAATTAACTACTTAAAAAATGGGTCAGTATAGTTATTAATTATGTCAGAAGTGGTAGAACGGATGTGGAACCACAGGAGCTGATATGAGCAGTTCAGGGGTGGATGGGTTAGCATAATAATAGATTTACAAGTACACGTATGTTGAATTTTTTAAATACATAATGATGTACTCAAGAAGCAAAAGTTGCTCTCGGCTACACCTCAAGCAACTCTTAGGCTTCTTTCATTCTTACAGTGTAGTTTGTTTAACTTGTCAAATAGTGAATTAAAGAAAATACTGCTACTAATAATGATAGTAATGATAATAATATGAATAATAATAATAACATTATTATCTTATTTCAGGATTTCAAATTCCCTCCACTGGAAAGTTATGAGACCTCGTATCCAAGTATGTTTTCGATAATTATTTTATTTTGTTGAATAACTACATTAACGGGGAAGTAATTCACATACCGTATTTTGGTACGGTTTCCTGGGGCCTGTTTCTGAAAATGATAAGAAGAAACTATCAGTTAACAAAGCAAAATTGACCAGTTTGGGAGCTAGGAAATGAACTACTATTAAACAGGTTTTGATTTTAAAATTTGTCTTCTTGCCCAAAAAGTTACTGGGCCTTTCAGGCAACGAGGCCCTGGAAAGGACAATCTCGCAAGAGCTTGCCTGGAAAAGAAGTCATACATAAAATGTCCCAGCAACTGAAATGATAAAACCCTAGAAATTGATTGTTACAATAAAAACTTGGACAGGGGTGTAGAAATACTTTTTGAGTGTAACATTTTGTTTGTGCTTCGATATGGATAAGCAAGGTTTCTGTTATGTCCTCCTGCTAACTTGCCATTGTGTACATGTAAAATGGATCCCCACTAATATGGCCACTGTTTATAAGTAAATTAATGAATGTTTTTAAACGTGGTAATAATTAACAAGGTGGTGTAATCAACAGCATGTGCTTAATGGAGGCGGGGGGCAGGGGTGGGTGTGAAGGATTGATTCCACTGTACTTAAAAATTTTATGCAATAATGTAGAGCTTATTGTTCACTGTCTTTGTAACAGGCTATTATTCAGGAAGTTGTTTTTCCCTTGATGTGTTACACAGAGGAAGATGACGAGCTTTGGCAAGAGGACCCTTATGAATTTATTAGAGTTAAATATGGTAAGTGCATTTGACATCGACCTCAAGTTTCAATTTAATCCTTCAGGCGCAACCTGTTTACATTCAACTGTGGCCAACTTCAAAATTCAGGAGAATTTCAAAGTTTATTTCACTTTAAATAATCATACACTTTATAAAAGAAGTACAGTTAAACTGCCATCAAGCAGCCACCCTCTATTAAGCGGCCAGTAATCAAAGTCCTGAAATACATGTAGTTATAGAAAAGAACAGGAAAGTAAATCTCTCTTAAGTGGCCACGTCCACCTTTTGACCATCCCAATGAGAGTTCTTTCATCGTTGTGACCTCTATTAAGTGGCCATCTCGCGCTTGATACACTTAGTTTGGCTTTATCCCTCTAAGTCCTAAGAGTGACCAACATCAATTTTCTCCTCACAATATCGATACATAATCAAAAGAAAAGTTTATGACAATTAATAAAATGATTACATCAGGGAAAATGCTTTGGTCTTCCATCAAATTCTCTCAACTAATTCTTTACGGAAATGTATAAAGATCAGTATGGAGAATTTGTTAGTGTATATCGGGGCTTAACGGGTTATTTCAAGAATACAATAAAGGAAAATACAGGTGATGATACAGGTGAGAAAAGGAAAATACAGGTGAGATAGAAGGTGATGCCTTATTCTGCTCCTGTAGCACGTTTGTTTCAAAACAAAGAGGTGTTTCTGCTAAAGATTATGCTCATGTTATGCTTATTTACGACGAACCTCTATTGTGTGGCTAACCGCCATTTAGCGGCCACTTGCTGGTACTTCAAGGGTGGCCACTTAATGGAGGGTCAGCTGTAGTATTAATAGTGACATGCTAGAGTGCTGCTAAAGAGATGTCATCTGAATGGCATTACCATAGGATTTTGTTTACCATTTCATCAACAAGAGCAAACAAACAACATTATCAACTTCTTTACAGCATGAAGTTTGCAAAGCAGATGTAACTAATGTCTTTAAATAGCAACACATTATATACATGTAGCTCATTGAGGTGGGTAGGAAGAGCAAGATATATGGTTTTAAAATATACTGGAAATTGCATGAAGTTGCCACTGCATAATGGTGCAAAATCCAGGAGGTTACAGCTAAAGAACTGAAATTACAGTCATGGTTATTTTAACAATAATTATTATATTTTCAAAAATTTTTTATTATAGTGAAGATGTCAAAGGGTATGAGTTTTCGGTCACAGATTTCAGAATATTGGTGAATGTTGCATTTCAATCAGAAATTTACACTATCCATGTAAAATATTATTGGTTTTAATATTATTATTATCATCAGAATGTCTCTTTTTCTTCTTGTGTCAACAGATATTTTTGAAGACTTTGTTTCCCCAGTAACTGCAGCAGCTACTCTTCTTCACACTGCTGTTTCTAAAAGGAAACAAGTCCTGGATCCAACCATGGTGTTTTGCGTGCATTTATTGAACATTCCTGCAGAACAGCGCGATCCCAGACAGAAGGATGGAGCTCTTCACATGATTGGAACATTAGCTGATGTGTTAATTAAGGTATTGTGTTCTTACCTCCGTTTTTTTGTGTCTACGTTTAGTGCTCACCTACTCGTAGCATACGAAAACAGCCAGTCCTCCTCGCTCCTCGCTTCTAGGGGCATACAAGGAGCAAGGAAGAACGGTTGTTTTCGCAGGATAACCTACTCGCCAACTAACCAAATATAATGGAAGGTGTCACCAAGGGATAACAAATCTTACATGTACTTCTCTTACCAAGTTTGTCGAGGTTGTAAGTTCCAGAAGAGTCTTTAAGAGCCAAATTAATATCCAGAGTTGAAAACACCTCATTCCTTCAGAGTTCAAGCCCTATTCCTCCTTCCATTAGAATTGTTGTCTCTGTGTGATAAGTCCCTTGTCCTCAAAATAATAAATATATAAAATAAGAATAACTTTATTTTAGTGTCAAGTTATTTAGCTTAACAGTCATTTTTTCCTAATGATCATCCACTGAGATTTTAAATATTATTAATGATCTTACCTCTGTAAAACTAAATACAAATGTCCATGACTCAAAATTTCCTCCCACAGCAAAAAGTAAAATGAAGAGAAAGGTCCAGTGTTCCTCTTTGAGGCTTGTCAAGTTTCTGAGCTCACTACTGACCTTTGACCAAATGAAAGGTCCTTGCTAATGCAGCAAATGCTGTATCAAAAGTGGGGTAGGTCAAACTCACAGTTTCTTAGGCCCCTTTTGTGTACTTATTACTTGCCCTTTGTTTTTCAGAGAAAAATGTACAGGACGCAACTTGAAAGTATGTTAGTGCAGCATGTTTTTCCTGAGTTTAAAAGTCCTCTGGGTTATCTCCGAGCAAGGGTAGGTAAAGAAAAAAGAAACATTGCCTCAAGAGACTGACTATAATCAGTTTACTGTCAGTGTGATACTTACAAGAAGTGACATTGTCACATGAAGTGTGAACATTACATTTATTTATGCCTTGATCAAAATAATAATTAACTATTATTGAATGAGGCTGAGTATCATCTAAAGTATTATGGAGATCAGGGAGGATGTTATCTGCCAAGGCCGTAGGACGAGGCGGATAACACCTCTACTATATAATTCTTTAGATGAACAACCCCTTTTATCATTCATTCAAAATAATCTTAGTTTAAAATTCTTTTAGATGATAGTGCATGTTAATCGACAAGTTTAGAATCAATAATTTTTTTAGATGTCGTCTGTCAAGAACTTATTCATTCAAAATAATTCCTATTTTTCCTCGTGAAATGAGTGAAATGTTCTAAAACATGCCTTGTCCCCAGGTCTTCTCAGTTAACATTGATAATTGGCAATCTTGCTTGTTGACATCTTTTATAAATGTGCATGTTAAATTGACAAGTTTTTAGGAATCAGAAACAGAGAAATATTTTGAATGAATAATAATATTATTTGAGGCATGAGGACAGTAATAAAGCAATTTTTTATGCTATATTGATACTTTTTAATAATATCTATGTTATTAGTAATAATTATGATTAATATTTAAATTATTAATAATTTTTACTACAAGTGCTTGCTTATCCATCTTCTGGCCATTTTATTGTTAGAATGTACACATAGATTTTCATTTTTATGGAAAATTGACAAATATTATTTCAGTAACCAGTCTAATAATAATAATATTTTTCTTAACAATATTTTTGTACAATGTATCTGTTCTTATATATTATAAGTTATGGGAAGCTCTTTAATAATTATCTGATTTGTGAAACTTCTGATCTTAGGCTTGTTGGGTATTGCACAGTTTTGGAGACATAACATTTAAAGATGAAAGAAATCTTGAAATTGCAGTTAACTCTGCACGACTATGTTTAACTGAAGACAATGATCCCCCAGTCAAAGTTGAGGCAGCCATAGCTTTGCAGTTTCTGATTGAGAAACAAGAGGAATGTAAGTGCAAGATTAAATTGTTATTGACCTTTTGAGTAACTCAGCCCCGCATTATTGATTCAGTAGAAATATGTCCTGGCTGGGACAAAATGGATAAGTACACTGTAAGTAAGTACAAATCTGAGACAAGTAGCAGGAGAAAAATAATATTGGATGTTTAGCATCATGAAACGGACAGTACAGCTCTATTAATTTTGGCAGTGTATTGCTTAAGAGAATGTGACTAAATACAGGCAGTCGTAAGAGTGACTGATTAACATCACAAGAATACACAAGAAAACAATAATGGATGCCAGCTTTTTAAAGAACATCTACAACAAAATACATCAGATCCTGTTCAAATCCCAAAACTGCACAGGAAATTAACACATGATAAGGGAAATATGAACCATTATTTTTAAATGAATAAAAAAGCAGTTATAATAAATCAACTCAACTTATGGCTTAACCTTGTTCAGTGTTTAATTTTTCATGTCAAACTCAGCATCATCCAACAATACTAAAATTTAATCCTTTATTATAACTATTGTGTAAGTGGATAAAGTTGTGAAGGCCATTCATGATTTTGTTTCCACAGCTAAAAAGTACATTGAACCACATGTTCGGCAAGTTATCCTCGGTAAGTTGAATATGAACACACCATACACTGTACTACTACAGACAGTTGAAGTGATCTCTGCTGAAAGGTTTTTTTACATTAACATTCTTTAAAATTTTATCTTTACTGTGGAGTTTCTTAACTGCCTATACTTTTAACCGCTAAAATGTGCTCAGCTTAAAATTTCCCCCTGTTACATCAATGCTTTTTAGAACACGATCTCACAAGATAAAGTGAATAACACTTTAATGATGTCTCCATGATACTTCTATAGGAAATGTATTATGGAAAACAAATGGGGATTAAAAGTTTGAGTCAAGGCTAAAGGGTTAATGTCAGAATAATGTAATTTTTTTGTAACTACTGGTATTGATCCTTCTCCTTCATCTCAATCCACGACTGAAAAAATTTACCTTTGCTTTTGATGTGTTACAATTCCCTTTTTAGTGCATGTTTCACCTTATTTTTTTGTACATTTACTGTCTTTTTGACATTCAAACAGTTACTAGTTATTCTTAATTTAAACTGAACCTCAGAAGGATCTCCTTCTGGTTTCAATTATTTTAATAAAACTTGTACAAGTGTAATTTACAAGTGTAGTTATAAGTTGTTTTAGAGTCTGAAAACAATAGCCACACTTGTAAATAATTATTATTCTTGTAAGGGTTTTATTAAATTGACCACTGGGCAATTCTCTTTTTCTAACCCTTTTACAGAGTTGCTAAAAGTGATTCGTGAAACTGAGAATGATGACCTTACGGGTGTCATGCAGAAACTCATATCTACCTATGGTGATCAGCACCAAGTTGCAAGCATTGCAGTAGATATTGCCAGAGATCTGGTATGCATACACTGTACAATGTACAAAATAGATTGCTACCCTAATATCATAGGTGACGAATTACTCTTTAATTTTGGCTCGAAATTTCAGCGATAATTTGTAATTTCACATGTGAAATTACAAAATTGCCATTGGCAACCTTCTGTACGTCTCAGTGTCAAGATGGCGACGAAGTTTTAAAATGTCATGAATGAAGATGCCAGGGCATGAAAATAAGCTTTAGAAAACCTGAACACACGAAAGAGCACATCAAGAAGGATTCTAACGGGTATTTTATCGAAAAATTCTGAACTTAAGCCAAATTTAAGAAAAATGCATTTTTTAACAGTCGATTTAAATTAATAATATTGTATCTCATGCATGTTTTCCACAACATAATGCTGTTTGATAAAACCATCTTGACATAAAATGGGACATTGTTAAGTCTTGGGAAGAACTCTTTGAGTTAGTTATTTTGTACTTTTACATTTTGCAAATGTACTGCAGGGCTGTTTCAATCTAAATATTAGAAGTACCCTCCAGATTTGTGTTTTTTGGGGCAATTATTACAAATGTATTACTGGGTTTTGAATTAAAAAAGAAAGACAATCTGTTTTCTTTTTCAAGATTATACTGATGGTATTTAATATTACTAATTTAAAGAAAACTATATGATTATTTTAAAATGTGCAGTTGCATGCAGGCTGCAGGGGGCTCACACAGCTTATGCCTAACCCATAGCTGGTGTATTGGTAATATCTCCAAATTTTTAACACTGAAAATAAACAACCTTAGCTTTGAAATCCTTTTTTCAGTACTTGCTTAGCTTTTGCAAATTTCTCTTGTTTGACCATGGCGAGAGGTGACCTTGTTTTGATGAAAGCTTCCCTGCCTTAGAGAAAGTTAAGAGGGGGTGGTTATTAGAGAGATTCTGGTAGACTCTGTGAGACAAAGTTTCTTTTTAATAAAAGAATATGATGCTATGTGCTGCATTTAAACCTGGACTTCCAGGTTTGTATCTTCATGTGTTAGTAACTACACCACTTTTTTTAAATCTCATTTTGTTTACACCTGTAGGCAGGCACATTTGTCCAGCTTTTAGATGGTGACGATAGTGATGAAAAAGCTGTCACTGCAATGGGTATTCTTAATACATTGGAAACCATGTTAAATGTTATGGAACGATCAAAAGAGGTACACAATTTAGGCGTAAATTTACATCAGTAATACAGTCAATTCTCTCCAAGACAGACACTTTTCAGGGCTTTGCCTAAGAGCCGGGGGCGGGGATTTTCCCTGGCTACTATGAGCGTGAGGCCCGGCTGCTTTCATAAGAAACAAAAGGAAAATAGAACCCAAAGGACTTCAGGAACAATTTAGGTTTCTGGGAAACTGCCCACCTTCCCCTCCCCTAAGTCAACATTAACACTTACTTCTCACTAAGGGCAAAACGTTGGATTAGGGGAGGGGTAGGTGGGCAGTTTCAATTCCCCTCCTACTAGTTGCATATACCCGGCGACTTGAAGTTTTAGCTACAACCCTGCTCTTTTGGGACCAGCACCGTGGGTCTGCCTTAGAGAGACATTATATGTGAAAGGTTTGAACCCAGGAGTCATTTCATAAGTAAGTTGACTATGATCGTACGGGTAAACGTAGTCCTGAATAGGACTGTTGTTGTTGATAATGACTGAGGTTTCGACAACCTGTGCGTAAGTCATCTTCAGAATCAAAGTGAGTTGTTTCACTCAGTTGATGGTGTTAAACTCTTGTTATTGACCTGACTGGTCAATTAAGTCGCGATGTTATTGGTCGTTTGTCAGTTAAGCCGTCTTGTTTTTGGCTATGAAGACTCGTATTGTCATTGGTGCGTTTCGATCCGTCTATTGTCACAGTTAAACAGTCATTTATTGTTAGTCAAATTGTCAGTTGTCCACAGCAGTCGTTCTCTCGAAGTTAGTTTTGCTTCATTCCGTCAATAATAGTCAACTAACAAGAGTGAAGAAAGGCAGGGAACAACTTTAGGCATCCGTTTAGCCTGGTTACAGTTTCTTGAGAAAATCTTCTCTGGGTGAAATGCTTGCAGGCCACGATTCCTTAGCAATTTACTGAAGATATTTCACTATACAAGACAACTTAGTGTTTAACCATATTTTTTTTTATCTACACCTGTACATATGCAGATTGTTCATCAGTTGGAACAAGTGGTAATCTCTTTAATAGCGAAAGTTCTGGAGCTGTCTGTGTTGGGTATGTATAAATTGATCCTCTGGTTAGATCACTGAAGTTATTGGATTACACAAATAAAACTTATCCTCTTAACATAAATTTATATAGTGTGTTCGAATCGCTCAAATTTCTGTAATTTTTCCCAGCAATTTCCTAGAAAAGTAATTATTGCAAAAGCGATTTAATACAGAGCTATAACTGGCATAGAAATCTCCAACCCTGGTCGAGGTTTTTCAAATGTTGGACAGTACTATCCATCGGATAAATCACTATCCAGCAGATAAGCGTAACGAAAACCAATTGCGCTGTCCACTGGACTGGGACCTGCACAGAGTAATTGCTAGAGCTTCGTGCAAAAGAACGCAAAATTGTCGGCCAACAACTCCCAACATTGTTGGATGTTACATTTTGCGTCCGTTTGCACACCCTGTTCCATGCTGTTGGGTGTTGTTGTGCAAGGTTTGAAACCTGTCAAACTTTTAGCCCTGTGCAAACCAGCGCAACATTGTTGGATGTTACATGTTGTTGTGCAAGGTTTGAAACCTGTCAAACTTTTAGCCCCTTGCCAACGGGCACAACATTGTTGGCCAACAAGTCCCAAATGTAAAAAAATTTGGCAATTTTTTGTGAATTTTTAATACTATGGCTTCAAAACTCACCAATTTTACCAGTTGGTTAGTGCTCCCTGGTACAATGTGTTAGACTCTACAGGAACATTTTGTGTATGGGTAAAGACATAGCCCGTGTAGAGGTGCCCTCCCCTAAAAAAATCGACTCTCTCCCCGATTTTTGTTTTTTTTTTAGGGGAGGGAGTGTCTGTAGAAAGGCTACAATCATGGACAAAAGTCTTGGGACACTTTTGCATGTCTGGGGCGTTTCCCAGTTCGCACAGGCCCAACACCTCCCCTCACCCCACAAACAAAGTTTGACGTGTGTATCCAGAATTTTTTCCGAGTTTCAATTTTGTATAGGGTGGGGGAGGGAGAACTTCAAGAAAATTTCGAAAAGGAATCGGATGCACTTTTTTATTAGGGAACCCAGAAATGACAGAAAAATATGAATACTGCATTACTGTCGCAAGAACTTTAGTCCATGATTGTAGTAAAGACACTAATTAATGACAATAGCACTGAATTCACCTAAAACAGCCATTAAGAATATCATCGTGACGTAACCCCTATAAAATGCCCTCGAACATGTCTATGCAGCAGTTGTATCTTTCATAATCTACAATCACCTCATCCACTTTCTCGTTGAGGTATACTAACCAGTACGCTGTGACAATCTTAGAACTGTACATTCTGTCTTTTTAATAAGTATTGTCCTTATATATATTACCATTTTTTGTTTGTTCTTTAGAGTTCTATGAGGACATTTTGTCCATTATTTGTACCTGCACAGTGTTTGAGATCTCGCAGTCCATGTGGTCTGTGTTTTATATGATATATGAAGCTTTCCAGAAAGATGCTTTTGACTACTTTGCAGGTAAAGTTACTAGTAAAGGCTTGTTAATGCTGCTAGAGAAGATCGTAGAGAAATAGAGATAAAATAGCGAGCGTAGCCCCAAACCTAACAAAATTTGGTAATCACGTGACAGTACGCTCGTCCGCCGTCCGTCCGCACCACAGGTGTACCAATGTAAAGTAACTCAATCAACAGGTAGGTTACCCAAATGCAACTTGATGTTTTTGCGGGAAATCGCATAGCCACCCGCGTCTTGTGAAGTAGAGACAGTCAATAGAGAAAGAGAAAGACAGAGAATAAGAGAAAATAGGCAACAGGCCAGCGAAGCTCAACGAAAAAAAGAGCGACGGAGAGCAAGAGCGAGAGATAAGGAGCCATTTTCTGTTGGAAGAACAACTTGAATTTGTAGCGGCGGTGAGAAAATGAGAAATTCTAGCGGCCACCAAGGAAAAAATGAGCGGCGGTGAAAAAAGTGAACAAGAACATGTACGACATTTCCTCCATAAAACGTGTAACCAGGAAGTTTCTGGACGTTTCACCTTGTAGTCGTAGTCGTGCAAAACAACGGCAAAGAGATGTACAAAAAAAGTGTGCTGCACGTGCAAAGTTGTTTTTTTGCTAATTAGACCTCTCGTTGTTTTTTCACATTTTTCTTTGCCTTCGCCGCTTAGCATTACACGATTTTACATTTAGTTTGAGCAAACTATAAACATTATCGAGAGCTTCGCTTTTAACCTTGGCTGAATCTATATATTACAGGAAGAACAGAAACTGAAAATGTCTCTTACTTACCGTAAATTTTCTTCTAAGCTATAGAGCGTTTCCACGTGACGTCACTTCCGCGATGTTTGTGTTCCGAGACAACGAAACGGCAACCATAAGAAATAGAGATAAAATAACCCTAAAACAGGAAGAAGACAAACTAAAAATGTGTTATTACTTAGTTTTTCTCTAAGCTATGCAGCATTTTCACATAACATCAAGTCTGCCACGTTGGTGTCTCAAGACAATGAAATGGCAGCCATATGAATTATGAAATAGATATAAAATAAACCTAAAACAAGAAGAGAAACTAAAAATGTTTTTTTACTTACCGAAAATTTTCACTATCGCCATATGGTGTTCCAAAACAGTGAAAGCGAGGCCATGTTGCTGTTCAAAACCAACCCCTAGGGAGTTTTTGCAACGACGACAACAACGGCGTTGAAAACGCCGCTAACAAAAGTAATTTGCGTCCTTTCAAACTTTATCGCGTCTATCTGGACCCTTTCAATTTCCCCTGGAGTTGAATTCTTAAGGACTTTTTCCAGGTACAAAAAGAGAAACGAAAATTCGTCGACGTGCGTTCACGTCCTCCATAAAACGTCGCATTAGATGTAGTCGTAGTCGTGCAATGGACGTCAAAGAAATGTACCAAAAAGCGTGATGTACGTGCAGAGCTGTTTTTTGCTCATAAAACCAATTGGTTTTTGACGTTGTTGTCGTCGTGGTGGTGGTGGTTGCTTAAGCTCCCTCTTTACACGTCTTAATACGTGTGCAGGTTGTTTTGTGACATCAATGCCTTCACTTTTCATGATTTTTACTGTTTGTTTCTTGTCTTGTAGAAATGATGCCTTGTCTGCACAATTACATCACAGTTGACACACCTGCCTTCTTAGCAAATCCCAAGAATATGGAAGTTATATACAATATGTGTAAAAAGGTCTGGTTTAAATTCTTGTTCGTCATCATGAGATTAGATAAAACGTCTTAAAAGTCTTCATGCTATTGGTTACAAAAGGCCCAGGAAACACTGAAAGGAAATTAGAAATCTAGCTTGCCAGCAAGCTCTCCATGCAAGCGAAGCGAGGCGCGAGAACGCGCGCGTGACGGTCTCCTTTCCCGTGCTGCTCTCGCGTGACTTCTTGCGACTTCCTCAAATGGAAAGCTTGCTCGCAGGCTATCTAATTACAGTTGAACCTCCCTTAGCGACTACCCTAAGTGCGAAGACTTAGTTGTCGCTTACGGGAGGAAGTCGTTTACAAGAATCAGACCACAGGGCTCTCTTCCGCGAAGAGTTCCGTCGGAACACGTACTTTATGGTAGACAAGTAAATGCATGCAATTTCTACGTTACGGTTTGTGTAGTTCCATGTTATCGCTAAAAGTTCCTCAAATACTCTAAGAAGCACAGAACGTAAAGCTGACATAGAGATCGTATCATGCGTCATGTGGTCGCTTACAAGTGTTAAAAAACAATGGAAAATTATTAAACCGTCATCCCCGAAAAGTGGTCGCGGTCGCTTACAGGACGTGGTCGTTTACGATAACTAACAACTGTAAGGCTTCCAAGGCGAACATTTTGCTGTTTTGGATGAGTGGTCGCTTACGAGAGGTGGTCGCACACGGAGGTTCAACCGTAGGCTAAAAACCGGTTTAACCTGAGAAGGGATTTTACCTACAGCATGTACCTTGTAGCTTTCTGCCCCCGGTTATTCAAACTTGGATAGCGCTATTTATCCACCGGATAAATCACTATCCGGAGGATAAGTGTTAGGGAAACCAATTAGGTTATGAAGTGAATAGCGTTATCCGCCTTTTGAACAACAGGAGCCTCTTGTCTTTGAATCTTGCAAGGATAGCCGGTTGTAGTGACTGTATCCAGTTTTAACTTTCTCAATCTTCACATTCCACTCAGCATATATTCACACTTTTCTCGACATTTAGCTATTTCAGGAAGCGTATTCGGATTTTAAGACCTCAAGCCTGTGAAACAATACTGCCAGGTCATGTAGTTAGCTGTCTTTTCTTCATAATTCGGTCATAACTTTCCGGTTGTCAGTGCCATAGATTGTTATAAAACCCTCACAAATATTTACCTTTGTGATTTTATAACATAGCCGAGTTTGGTACTTTTTTAATGAAATTACTCGTATTGTTATGGGGTCTCGTCGCGTAGGCTTTCTGATTGGCTGTATATGTTGTGGTTGTTAGAATATCAATTGTATTATTAAGCTGACGTTGGAAATTTTTTTTCTATTCGTATCAGATGATGACTGACTCTTCTGCACAAGAAGATCAACAGTGTAATGCAGCAAAATTATTGGAAGTGACCATACTTCAGTGCCGTGGACAAATTGATCATGTATGACAATGGTTACTTTCTAAGTTTGAAACCTGTGTTGTTCATTTCAAGTCATTATTTTCGAGAATAACAAGCAAAAGTCATGACGAAATACAGCTTTGTTTTTTCTCCTCCCCTCGTCTAACGCTTCTCGCGAAATGCCCCGTTCACCAATATTATTTATTAAAGGACATTATTCTCGAAAATAACAAGCCAAAGTCTTGTCGAAATACAGCGTAATAATTTTCCCTTCCCTCGTTTAGCGCTTCTCGCGAGATGCCCTGTTCGCCTCGCTTGGTTCGTAAGGCGCGGCCTGTTATTCAGGCTACACTAAACCAGTTCAATAATCTAATACAGTCAACTCTTGTCTTGTGGACACCTCCTTATTACGGACAGACCAATAATATGGGCAGGAGCTCAATAACCCCAGCAAAACGAATTACAGGTCAATTTTTTTCAAGTCTCAATCCTTGTCCATTCTTGCCATCCTGTAGCAACAGACAACCGGAAACAGTTTCAATGCCTAAATATAGTTTTAAATAACAAAACTGGACCATTGTTTGTGGTATTCAGTTGAGGTAAAGACACGTTTTAGCTGCTTTAGCTTGACATAGCCCGTTTAAAGACTCTGTATTAAGGACACTAATCCGCGGTCCTAAGGGTGATTGCAATACCGGAAGTTGACTGTAAGAGAGCTAGTCACTTCCGAGCGTGCTCTCTTTCATTTACACGTCGTTCTGCACGCATTACTTTACACTTAGCCTGTCAAATTTCTCCATGCTTGCACATTTGCCTTTGTCTTCTCAACTAATCAAATTGAAACATTTTGGAGCCCTTTACCTTCCCCTCTGCAAAATAATCCAATTTCTTCCCTCCACATAAGTGTATCTCCACCCCAAAATCAATCAAGCTACTCTCTTCCACCGCTTTTAGCTCTACTCAATAAACAAATTAAATTACCCTCTTCAACGCGTGTTTGGTTTTACTCACAAACCAATCAAATTGTTCCATTCATTGGACCAATCAAATAAGGAATTTAGGAAGACTGTGTCGTGTACAGTGCTGTTGCCTATTTGATTTGCTTGTTGTTTTCTTTCAGTGGCTTCCATTCTTTGTGGAAGCAGCTCTGGAAAGGTTAACAAGAGAGGTGAAGGAGAGTGAACTGCGAACTATGTGCTTGCAAGTGGTAAGGCAATACCCACGATAATTAAATACCACTATTTTTCATGATCCTTAAGGAGGCCATTAAATTGGTTATGTTTAGCGTTCGCCACTTTAGAAACGAGATGGAACCTTGTCCATACTAACTTTCGGAATCCGGAAATGTTTGCTTGTGGAATCCGGAAAACAGCTCAAGGAATCCGCAGTCTCTCTAATAATTGGAATCCGGAATCGAAGTTCTGTTGACACTGCATTTAGTATCCAGTACCCGGAATACGGAATCTAGAATCCAAGACTGTGTTTCCTTGGGAGTCGCAGCGAAAGCTACCAGTGTGAACTGATATTAGGGACTTCTAAGCAGGCTCCTCGGAAGATTTATATTTGGGAAAAACTGACAATCGACCACCTCACACTTAATAGTAGGGAAAAGAAATTTGACTATCCTAGAGTGTGGGAGACTTTAGTCTCCTGATCTAGTAGGACAGTATTGTGTACAAATTTGCAATCGAAACACGTTTGGACCTCTGGGCTGTTACTAAGGACAGGGGAAAAACTGGCCAATAGCTGACGTCCGCAGTAACGATCCCAGAAGTTTTTGCGAACGTTAACTCGACCCAGTTTCCATCTCGTTTGTAAAGTGACGAATGGCTAAAGCAGAACTGCAAATAACTGTTAGTCATAGGTCAGCGTCCCGACAAAATCTTAACTGTGGTCGGACATGATGTCCGGTCAGAGTTAATACCCAAGGCTATCGTTTTGCAGGTGAATAAAATTTTCCATGAGCGGTATATGTGAATTGTCTCACCCACGAAATAACATTACTGCGGCGGATGTTTGGCAGAAACGATTTTATCTGCGATTTCTATATGTGAATTGTCGTACCTTCGAATTATCTTTATATAACAGTTATCAGCTTACCTTTGTTTAGGCGTCTTTGATTAGGTCCGACCACATTGTTGTTTTGTCGGACCAAAATGGTGACTTGGTCGCACATTGTCCTTTCAAGAAAAAAAAAAGGCTATTTGCAGCTTTGATAAAGAGGAAAATTCTTGGAGGGTGTGGAAAAACTTGTTAGCTATTTTTACTAAAGTGGCTGTTAAAGACATCAATAAGCTCAGCCTGTGAAATGTTATGCAGCTGAGATGACTATACAGTATTAAGTTGGCTTATGAAGACGTCAACTGGTTATGTAACTGTTTATGTGGCTATTTTAGCACTAAGATGATTTATAAGGCGGTAGTAAGCGCCGAATGTGGTTAGACATGGGTGGGCCATTTAATCTCTAATGTGGTTATTGAAGAGCTAATTTGTCTAGGTTAGAGCCAAGGTGGGTTACTAATAGTCTCTATACATGATTACGACAAACACACAAATTTGAACACCAAGCCTCGATTGTGAACTAAATTCGTTATATTTGCACTCTTAGTGCATGGGTATTCTTTTCAACTGCCTTGGGAATAATTTATTTATAGTAGACTTTACAATTTCAAAACGAGGGTTGGTGGTGAAATGTGCTCGTCAACGTGTGACGTAAACATGCGTAAGGACTATTGGCTGTTTTGGAGTTGCGTGTGAGACGAGGTCCATGTTGTGTCGAATTGCACCATGGGAATGTTTTAAGGGACTAATTTTTGACCCCGTCTCCCGCGAGACCTTACAACAGCCAATACAAGAAGAGCTAACGCCCCCAAGATAGTCCCATTGACCAGTTGGACATGACACCGAACAAGTCTAACGCGCAACCAACACTGTAGGATACATTCTCACACTTCTGATTATTGACTGTTATACATTAAAGTTACGATAAAACGGGCAACAAAAACGTGCAATCTGTTTTGCAACATTCCTGCAGAACGTATTGAAAAGCGATGTTGCGCGTTTTACTACCCGTGTTCAAACCTGTCTTGCAGCAAATAAAGTTGCGTGAATACTGACTTCTGATTGAATAAAAATTACGCGGGAGTCACGCCATACGCGGGATTTACGTCACTTGTTGCAAAATAGGTTTGTCTTGGGCCAGTAAAACGCGCAACATGAACAGATTCTGTTGCAAGAAGTATAACTACTCGCTACTTTCTGCATAACTATACAGCCTGTTTTGTTGCAAGACAGGTTTGATTCGTTGGTGGTAAAGCGTGCAACATCGCTATTCAACTTGTTTAGTAGCAATGCTGCAAACAAATTGCACGTTTTTGCTGCCCGTTTTATCGTAACTTAATACATAAAGTTTATTTTTTTGTTACAGGGTGTAGCAGGCTTAGTATACAACGCACCACTCTTGTTGGGCATTCTGGAGAAGTTACATTTTCCAAACACACAAGAAACAGTTACAGCCCAGTTCTTTTCTCAGTGGATTAACGACTATGACTGCTTTTTTGGGTAAGTTTAGAGTACAGTTGAACCCACCGTACCACCCTTTTCATTAGGCTATTTAAATATGCCATTTCCGAGTTCCAAAAGCTCTTACTTTCAAAACGAGGCTAAGTACAAAACCTTTCTTTTGAAAACGAGATTTTTTTTCCCCGAGAATAAAACATCATTCTCTTATCAATGGCTTTACACTTAGCCGAGACTGCAAAACAGTCCGTATGTTTGCGTATTCAAGTGCGCGCGAACAGCTGAACAAAAGGTCTTGAGCGAACCTCAAAAAGAGACGCTCGCCCGTAGGGCGTGTGAGGCTCGCGCGCCTCGCGCGTGTGAAACCCCTACGCAACCGATTGAGGAAAAACCGTCCGTTTTGCAGTCCACACTTAGCCTCGCTGAGGCAACTCGAAAATGGTCTATTTTGGTGATTATAAGGTGAAGAATTCAAACTGACAAACAGTAAAGCTTTTCTTGAAAGTCGTTCAAAGTGCTTAAATGAGCGTTAAAGCGACGAGGGTGGTATTCACCAGGCTCCAGTTGTTCAAAAGGTGGATAGCGCTATCCACTGGATAAATCTCTATCCAGTGGAAATTGCAGCTGGTTTCCCTAATAGTTATCCACTGCAAGTCGACCAGAAGTGGACGTGTTTAAAAATTCCACCGTGATTTATCCAGTGGATAGGGCTGTCCAGCTTTTGAACAACTGGGGCCAGATCTGTAGTCAGAATTGAGCCATTACTTTTCATCACATTACTGAGAATTTTGCTATCATCATGTCAAACTATGCCATTAATAATTTAATTTGCATAGGGCCTCTCAGAGAGCTGGCTTGCACGCTACAATTTACACTGGCCAACAGTGGTCTTATTAACTGAGTTTACAATGCCCTTTTTTAGCTTGCTTGCAGACTTCTCGAAACAAAGAAAATAGTAGCCTTTTAGCGAGCGCTCGAAAGGTGGGAGGCGGGGTGGAGAGAAAACACTTTAAATGTACTTTCTGACTTCCTCAAGTGGGTAATAGGGTTTTAAAGCAAAGACGTCTTTGAGCAATAAGTGGACTTGTTTAAAAATTCCGCCGTGATTTCGCCCACATTTTAGGGCAGGTGGCCTTTGTAAGAGCAAAGACACTAACTATTACGAAATTGGCAGTGTCAAGATAATATTTAAGGGGAAACAACTCACTTCCGTTTGACCTGCACCCCTCAAAAACCTCGAGGTGATGAATAGGTTTTGCTATTTATTATTATTATTATTATTATTATTATTATAACCATAACAAAATTCTCAAATCTGATTGGCTATCAACTGTCCTGATTTCAGCACTAAGTGATTGGTGCTGAAAGTAAGCCTAAGTAATTGGACATCACGCGCGCGCTTAAATAGCTTATTATTGTTGTTGTTGTTGTTATTACTATTATTGTTATTTTATTTATTTATTTTTTTTTTTTGCAGCATTCACGATCGTAAAATGTTTGTGTTGGGTTTCTGTGCACTAATGGATCTTCCTAAAGAGATTAGACCACACTCTTTATTGCAGTGCTCAGGCCAGATACTGCCAGCCTTGTTAGTGTTATTCGCAGGTCTAAAGCGGGCGTATGAAAGTAAGTGTAGTTTACTTCTCGATGAGCAAATATCTGATAACAAAGACCTCTATTGTGTTCACCCTATATAATTAAATTGCACATTCTTAAACTTTCTAATTAAAGAGAATTAAAATGCAATAACAGCTGAGTCTGTTTCCACGTAATCTTGTTCAAACGATGGAAGATGGAGACGGTCATGTGGAAACATCTCTACGGCGACGCGGGATGATTCTTTTGATTGGGTGATCGCAATCGTCAGGATAGGAAAAAAGTCCATAAGTAGACTGGTTCCCATATAATCGTCCCATTCCTCCCCAAAAATCGAGGCGATCGACGCAATTCAAACGATTAATAAAACCAGGCTTCAGAAGGGGACGCTTTCTCTATCAGGTCAGACCGAGTCGACCCACCACCATTTCCAAGCCCGTTTTCAACCAGTTGGCCTTTCATTTTCCAAGTCCCACGCCATCCTAATGCCGGCGAGTCAGGTCGTTTATTTAATCTTTTTAGATTAAAGGACTAGATAATTCGTCTCCTGATTGCAAAATGATTAAACTTCTAATATTTGTTAACTTGTTATCGTCACTACGATATTTTCGCTAAAACCCGTCGGAGTAGAATGACGCTGGTTCACGAGCGCGCACTACTTTGTATTGAGAAAATCTGGTTTTCGTAGTCGTCCTCGTCTTAAAATCTCAGGGTCGGTTATTCAAACAAAGTCTAACTCATGCCGCGGTTTAAGAAATCATTGGACCTCCTGATCTCTTTCTTAGAGGGTTAATTTAAGAAAATAACTCCTTTTCCAGTCTTCGCTATATGCTTTATTGAAATTCTTCACGATAAATGGTGTTCAGATAAAAGCGTTGGGCAAACTGAAAATGGTTTAGAAGGCGGTTTTGTTAAACACGGGCTAAGCTCCGTTTTTATAACTGGCTTCAAAGGTCTCGTCTTAGACGATTGGACCATCCTTAGATCGACGCATTTGAGAACCTTCTAAAACGAGGGCTGCCTCTGTCTTTTTTCAGGCCAAGCTAATGATGACGAAGAAGAGGATGATGACGAAGGAGAAAGTGACGAAGGTGAGTTTTATTACCCTTATGACTGACACGCCATGAAACGGAACACAACCTCGAAGAGAAAAGGTTTTAGCATCTGAAGTACGTACCACCCAACGTCGTGTAAAGGAGGCCAGCGCCTAAATAAAACGCTCCTTTCCTAAATCGGGACGAGAGGACTGATTGCCACGTCTTTTCTTTCCTCTTAGATGAGCTGGCGAGCGATGAGGACGAAATCAATGAGGACGACGTGCAGTACATTGAAGGTCTTGCTCAGAAGGTACTCATTAGAATATTCTCGGATTATGAGTACTATAACCTTTAAAGCCCAATATCCACATATAAAGTCTCTATACTGTTCTTCATACATTTCCTTAAAAATTAGTTGAGAGGGCTTGATAACAGATCAAAGTATTTTCTCTTTAGTGATCATTTTATTAAACTCTCATAACCATTCTCTTGGCAACATATGGACATTGTTAGGAGAAAATTGATGTTGATCACTATTGGGACTTTGGCTATGAACTCTCTATAGAATCGAGCGTAGGAACTAGCCTTTTCCAGGCTCCAACATAGTAATGTGCTGAGATCGTGAAAACAGAGGCGAAAGCACGTACGGGTGCTGTGTAAATATATCTGGAAATTAGATGCTATTGTAATTTGAGGTAGGGCCACATGTTTGTCAGTATTCTACTGTAAAGTGGTGCCTCTTTAAATAAAGTTAATATTATTGTAGCCAACAAGTCTATAAAATAACAAACTGATAGATCTCCATTTGTTACAGGCTGCTGATCACTTGGATGATGAAGAGGATATTGAAGACGAGGAAACAGCATTGGCAAACTTCACAACATCAATAGACAATGACGAAACTGATGAATACATCGCCTTTAGGACTTCACTTCAAGGTATGACTGTTTGTAACGCCTTTTCCGTGTTCGTGTTCCATAAAAGCTTCCTTTCCATAAAGCCCTCATGCCTTTGCTACTCGTTTCTGACAACCTCCTTCCCCCATTAGAATGGCGATGTAAAGGGTTCTTTCGTACTCCTGTAAAAGCTTCAGTCTCTTACTCTTTAGGGTTCTGTTAAATTTACGTCCCTCCTCCCTTCCCCCACCCCATTCCCACCACCACCACCCCTTTGGGCTCTTTTAAAACAACTCTCGGCTTTAGGGAATCAATGCTTAACTGACCTCGGCATTTCGACTCCAGTTTGTAGGGTTGATTATTTCAGTGTTGTTTTTGAAAGGTTTCCTCCTGAAGCTCTCCAATAAACACCTTTCTTCGCTACCAGTCACCTGTTGTTAAAATTAACCCTCTAAGCCCCAGTATCCACATAGAAATTCTTCAGACTGATCTCCCAATAAGTTGAAAGAATTTGACAAAATATCGTAGCATGTTCCCAGAGGTTATTTATTCTCACAACCTATTCTCTTGATGATACTTTGATATTCCTAGGAGAAAATTGATGTTGGTCACTATTCGGACTTAAAGGATTAAACAAGCCCCGGGGGAGTACTCCTGGGAATTCTTGGTGGGTTTTGCCGCCCGGTTCTCCCAATCCTGACCCTGTTTCAGTCCAAAAAATGACATTTTCACACCCGTTTTCAGACCTGGGCCCAATTGTTCCAAAGGTGGATAACGCTATTCACTGGATAAATCTCTATCCCGTGGATAGGGCAATGGGTTTCCTTAACATTTATCCGCTGGATAGTAATTTATCCGCTGGATAGTAATTTAACCGGTGGATAGTAATTTAACCGGTGGATAGTAATTTATCCACTGGATAGTGATTTATCCGGTGGATAGTAATTTATCCGCTGGATAGTAATTTATCCGCTGGATAGTAATTTATCCGCTGGATAGTAATTTATCCGGTGGATAGTAATTTATCCGGTGGATAGTAATTTATCCGCTGGATAGTAATTTATCCGGTGGATAGTAATTTATCCGCTGGATAGTAATTTATCCGCTGGATAGTAATTTATCCGCTGGATAGTAATTTATCCGCTGGATAGTAATTTATCCGCTGGATAGTAATTTATCCGCTGGATAGTAATTTATCCGCTGGATAGTAATTTAACCGGTGGATAGTAATTTATCCACTGGATAGTGATTTATCCGGTGGATAGCGCTATCCAGCGTTTGAACAACCCGAGCCAGATCTCTGAAATCCATACCCGTTTTCAGACCTGGCCTTTAGGCAGAAATTGTGTCATGATTACTTATATTAGAGCGCAAACAAAAAATTTCTTCAAATGATTTTCGAATTCGCATATTTCTATTTCGTTCTTATTTTTTGGAATTGAAACGATAAATACGTTCATGCACTCCCGTAGTTCCGTCGAAAACCACACCCGATTCCAGACGAAAATTAGCAAAGTCTATACCCGTTTTCATACCAAAAAGGCCCAAAACCCATACCTTTTGGAGCGGAACATACCTATATGGCTTATATAGGGGAGTACTGTGGAAAAGCTTTACAAAGCATTTACGTTAAAGGGACAGGTTCACCGTCAAGCGCATGCTCATTAATTAAATTACTATTTCCCAATTTATTGTTAATTCTATTGGTTAATAATCCCACTCACATGTATCTCAGCTATCTCAGAGAGTATTTCAAAGGAGGAGTGTATTTCAGAGTAACCTGAAGTAGGATGGGGGAGTACTAAAATCGCAGAAAAAATTAGTGGATTATGCCAACAATACCAACGTTGAATTTATTGTTGACCTGAAGGTTTTATTCCATTGTTGATTAATTTACAGCTATTTGCAAATATTTAAGTTGATCAAGTGCAAGTGACTGCCAGGGGAGTGTGCAGATTGGTTCTTTGACAACATTATGACATGATCATATCGCTTGCATGGACGATACAGCATGTCCCGGCAGAAAAACAGCATTTTGATAAATGAGCATGCGCTGAACCGTGAACGTGTCCCTTTACATCAATGAAGAGGTTATCACCGTGACTCACATTTTAGTTTTAAATGTATTTTTGTGTTGTTTTTAGCACTTCAGGGTAGTGACCCGAACTGGTACACAGCCCTGATCAATGTGCTGGACGGTGAGCAGACAAGGGCATTACAGGATGTATTTGTACAGGCTGAACAGCGAAAAAACGCTTTAGGTGAGTCACGAGGACTATTCCAACAGATCCTTTCTTTCACCTGCTCGATTTTGACTGACTCGAGAAAGACTCTGTATGAATCAAGTTAAATCTTTGCTGAGCATGCGCTACATGTTGATATGATACAGTTTCGAACCCAGGCCTAATTGATACAGCGGCCTCTTTTGTAACCATCGGTTTATCGATGAATGAATGCTCACACTCGAAAAACCAGTTTGACGAGAGGAAACAAGATTGAGTAGTCGAGAAGTTCTGGCTACGGCCACCGCAAAGGCTTAACGCGATTCAGGCAGAGTCTCCTTTTTTCACCTGACTGATTCTGGAAGCAGTAGTAAAATGACGTCACGTGCAAATGGCCCATTAGGGAAACTAATTAGAATATCAACCTCGTTCCCAGGGTTCTCTCTATTTCTTCGAGAAAGAACCCTGATTGCAGCTGGTCACGTGAACCCCCAAAATCTGGGGGCTAACAAGAATTTACCTCAAGGGAGGGGTAGTAAAATTATAAAATTGTCGCTGTTGTCAGAAAGACACAAAATACGCTGTTGAGCTTGTAAACTAGAGAGGCATTACTTTGAAGTATATCGGTCACAAGAACAAGTTTGTGGCCAAGGTTTTTCCTATTATACACGTGCTTTTGCCCTGAAAATGGTTCAAGTCGTTGTTGACTCGCAGAAAGTAAGGTTTACGTTGAAAACTTTCGATTCTTTTTCGTAGTGGCATAAAACGAGCCCGTTTACCGATCGACTCAGAACGGCAAACTTAGACCGAATACATCAGTAATGATTACTGCCTCAAGTTTTAGCTCATATCCAGATAATACATTAGCCCTACCCTGATGAGGAGTTCATTGTTACAGGTAGTCACATGACCAGTCGCAACCAGGGTTCTTTCTCGAGGAAGAGAAAGAACCCTGGGAACGAGGTTGTTAGAATATCCTCTCAATATAGATTTATCCAGCGCATAGACTCTGGACGAAAGTGACATCGTGGAGCAAATTTTCTTGTCTGAGGAAACAACTCGTCAGTTTAAGCTCGGACCTACGGATCAAGAATGCGCGAAAAACGAGCTCACTGTGTTCTTTATAAATCCCCTGAGGATTCGTGCACAGTCGTGCTGTTCACGTTGGTCGCATGCATTATTTAACAATTAATGAATGAGGCTGAGTATCTTATGAAGAATTATGGAGACATTATATCGTTACGAGATCTCCATAATTCTTCATATGATACGAAAGCCGAATTCAATAATTGTTTTATTATTCATTCAAAGTAATTTCTAGTTTAAAAACATGGCTAAAACATGCTTACCTCCATCGATCCATCGATGTTAAGTTCATCTTCGATAGTGCACGTTTAGGGTTGTCCAGCTCCGCAAATATTCTCCAAATAGCAGATATCGCCCTTCGAGTTGTCTTCTTGCTGTTCTTGCCATGTTTTTAGCTATTTTTCGCCTATTTCTTACTCTTGAAACGAGTGAAATGTCCGCCATTTTTCAAGTTCACAACAAAAACAACTGAACCTCGTCCCCAGGTCTTCTCGGTTAGCGGTGCCTTAACCTGCGAAAACGCTGCATTTTTGACGTCATTTCCTCGTTAAACACAAAACTCTTCCAAATTTTGTCATCAGTCACTGGTTATGGTGAATTAAACGTATGCTTTTAGCCAATCACAATCGGGGAAATATTTTGAATGAATAGTAAAACTCGTTAAAGTATGCGCTTGAGGGTAATGCGCCTTCTTTATGCAGTTATAGTGAACTTCTTTCGAGCAATCATAACGCGGTCGTAGTAAAGAATGATTCCAGTGTAGACCTTGCACCTGTTTTGGTTCTTTTTTTCTCAGAAGGCAAAAGACATCGCGAAGACAACTAATTTCTTTTTAAGGCCTCTGTACTACACACTTCTTATATCGTGCTATTGTTCTGCTCGTATTCACCAGAGTCCAAGAGGATCGAGCAACAAGGAGGCTATATGTTCACAAACATGGCTGTGCCACAAACATTCAACTTTGGACAGTAAGAGAAGCAACTTCAGATAACACCTTGGCTTACTCAGATGCCGGCAAGTTGAACTTGATCACTACTTGTTTGACCTATTTGAAGATTGTTGAATAACTTGCACATGATTTTGCGTGACATGGACCCGCGTTACTCGCTTGCGCCTTGCTTTGCCTCGTGTGACAAGCCAGGGTTTGCTTACCTTGGGAACTAATAAACACAGCAATTCCTTTCGACTCAGAGGAGAAATGACCTGGGATCAATTTTAATAAAACTTTTACAAGTGTAGCTATTGTTTTCAGACTCTAGAACAATGGCTACACTTGTAAATTGCACTTGTAAAAGTTTATGAAATTGACCCCTGCTTTGTGTCAGCGTGGCGTGGTTGGTTTAACAATATTATTTTCTGAATTCCGACAAGGAACTGGAGCCGAAATGCGTCCGGTAGTTGTGGGATCGTCACCGGGGACGTGCCGGTCGGCTATTAGGGAAAGCTCAGTTAAGCAACAACGACGGCGACGGCGACGGCGACGGCTACGAAAACGTCACTTAGAAGTGAATTTGCGCTGCCTCAAATTTTATCGCGCTTATTCCATCTCGTCAAATGTTGGCAATTTTTTTTTGGAGGTAAGTTCTAGAGGACTGTATCGAAGTTCAGGAAAAGAAAAGGAAAGTTGTTTTCTGGTGTTCCCGTCCTCGACAAATCGTGAAATTAGGCATGTTCACGTCGTAGTCGTGCAGAGACGGCAAAGAAATGTACAAAAAAGCGTGATGCACGTGCAGAGTTGTTTTGCCAATCCAAACCTATTGCTTTTTTGCCGTTCTCATTGACGTCGCCGTCGTCGTTGCTTAAGCTCTCTATTGGCCAGTCTTTTAGACGTTAGTAACAGTCCCAGATATCTTTGCGAAAGTTAATTTGGCCTAGTCTCCTTCTCTTTTCTAAAGAGGCGAATTGTGATTGATCTTGATGCCATGGTCGCAATTTCCATTGATTTACCAGACCAGAGGTACAAACGTGATTTGTTTGTAAATTTGTACACAATACTCTCCTACTATATCAAGAGACTATAGTCTCGCACACTCTAGGATAGTGAAATTTCTTGTCCCTGCTATCAAGTATGAGGTGGTCGATTGTCAGTTTTTCACAAATGTAAATCTGGTAACAGTTTTCAATTGCCTATATAAAGAGCATTCTTTGCCACTTAAGATTTCGTGAATCTGGCATATGTCGACCCGAGGAGCCTGCTTAGAAGTCCCTAAAATCAGTTCACACTGGTAGCTTTCGCTGCGACTCGCAAGGAAATCCATGACAGTCCCACGCCGTGGATTCCGGATTCAAGGTACTGGATACGAGTTTAATGTCAACGGATCTTGGATTTCGGATTCTAATCGTAAGTGAGATTGCGGATTCCTTGAGCTGTATTCCGTATTCCAAAGCCCAGGATTCCGGATTCCACAAGCTAAAATTTCCTTATTCAGGATTCTCCAAGCTAACCTTTCCCAGATTCTGGAATCCGTATTACCTCACATAGGGCGACAAGGTGATTTTTACTGATTTTTCTGACCCATCAGGAATCTCAGGCAGTGTCTACTTGTTTCTGTCTTTATACGCTCTTTTTGTCTCGTCACGCAACGCTACCTCCCCCTGTGTGACAAGACAAAGAACCAGGTTACGTGGGAGACGTCCTTGAAAAGGACTCGAATGGACATACCCGCAGTGACGTCATCGGCTGTTCCCACAAGTGAACGTGAGAGAAAAGTCGCAGCGAACATCGCCTGCGTGAACGCCCGATAAATTTTGGTACTCGCCTAAGAGTGTGTGGGCTGGTAACACTGCTCACGACCTTGCCAAGTCAGCATAAATTGTCAGGGTTTGTAGAGGATTTGAGCGAACTCGTTAGCTCTTGGTTCCTGGGCTGGGCCCATGATTAAGGTTGTGATTGAAACTGGACATGTAGTGTGCGTCTCCATTTGAACATATGTCCAAGATCAGAACTTGGGAGGTCTGGGGAATGTATATGGGCTGCTACTAGGGTGCTGAGGCAAAGACGATTTTAGCGACTGCGTCAACCGGAAGTGGACTTTTACACACCTGAGCAGTGGTTTTGCCCAAATTTTCTGCCAGATTATCTCTATAAGAGTAAAAGATACTAAGCAAATCAAGCCAATACAAATTCAGTAGCGGCAAGGCATATTAAAAGGCAAAAGGCCTCACTTCCGATGACGTCGTCGGTCGATGAAAAACGCCTTTGCTTAAGCTGCCTACTATCCCGTTGTCTGAAAATAAATCTTGGTTTCGAACACGGAAATAAAAAACGGGAAAGAGGGAGAGAAGAAAATTTATTTTCCGATTCGTATAAGCTTTATTATAGCGAAGCAACGCTCATATTAAACTTATTTCAGTCGTCTATTTAATTACGAATTATTTTTATGTTAGAAAAGTTGCTGTAATTAACTTATTGTAGGACTTGACAGTTTATCGCTCATTAGAAAGTTTAGTGACTTGAAAACATGTAGAATTTCCGATGAAGAAAATCATTGTTGAAAACTTATCAAACTAAAAGAGAGAAAAGCTTCCTTGTTTCAAATTAAATTTCCCACGGCATTTGTTTAACGTAAATATTATTTTTGTGTAGTGGAATTTTTTTTAAGAACAAACGATGAGTGCCCAACAGCGAATTTAAACGCTCAAAACAAAACTGTTTTTAGCCGTTATATAAGCGAAAAATATATATAACGGTCAGGCTTCTTTGAAATGCTTATCTGTGAAGAGATCTTTGTCACACGGCGGCCATTTTGTCTCAGGAGATTTTAAAGAGCTTTGTTTATTATGCACGGCTAACCTCGTAGAGAAAACGAGGCTAGCCTTGCATAAACAAAGCTTTTTAAATCTCCTGAGACAAAATGGCCGGTCTGTAGTTGCGTAACTGGAAAAAAAAATTCGCTCTAACCTTCCAGCCTGACCCATAATAATACTTCTTGTCAAACCTAGTTTTCGTTCAACATTCAAACTTCTTGCCATCAGTGCTGCGAAAGTGGAATCATGAGTGAACACATTGTTTTAATATAGCACGCTTGCATCAGGTCCGCGCCATTAGATTGCATATAGCGTTTCCTGCGTTACTGTTAGCACTGTTTCACGTTCTTGTAACCCCACCTACTCCCCCTCCCCTTTTTGAAATTGCGCGCTTAATTCGTCTGCTATCAAGTAAGCTGAAATGACTGAAATGGGCGACTGGCCGGGGAGACCTGGGAGAAAGTGAACTTGGCAGTCGGAATGAAGCTCAGTCTTCGCTCGTTCCCTACAATGTTTAGTTGATTCAATCAACCAGTGTACTAGGAATATTCAAATGTCGCAGCAACATGAATCGTTTAAATAAAGCATTTTCTTGGCGCTAGACCTAACAGCATCACTGCTTATCAAACATCTCACTTAGCGAGCCGCCCCCTTGTTTTCCGTTGGCAGGTTCATCTCCTAATACACAAGATATTTCTACAGCTTCTTCTGGCCGTGCACTTTGGTCCTCTTCGTCTAGGTGAATGGAAAACTCGATAGCTCTTGTCGTACTCTCCTCAAACATAGCATAGTTTAACGTCGCGTCGTAAAATAACTCCCTTTGATAGGAATGGAATGTTGAAGCTTCAAAATTTTTCAAGACATTTCCTTTCATCACGTCGAAGCTTTTCTCTTGTCTGGACCGCGTAATTTGCTTTTTCCTTTCTTTTAATGCGAGAAAAATCTTTTCTGTTATGTCAGGAATGCGTAAGCAGTAGGTAACGAGAGCGACAAAAAATACTAATAAAATTACCACGAAAGGAATTAAGTGCCACGGAAATGTTAAGGTGGATGGGGTCGAATCAACGGCTGGACTGCTTGGGGCTAAAAGAAAAACGTAGAGAATAAAATGAGTATCTGGCAGATAATATTGCCTGTGGTATCTGAGCTATTTGGAAACTTCCATGATAGTGCGATCGAACCTTTTCAACAAGGAGAGTGATTTTACAAATATGTATATATCTTATGGAGTTTGGCTTGAACTGTTTGTAATGAAAAACCTAAAGTGGTTTGTACACGGGGGTTTGTAGAGAAGTTGCAACTGGTTCTTGTACCCATAACTATACTTCTGCTGAAGAAACAGAAAGACTATCATGTCTAGTAGAACGTCTCATAGGTGGTTGTGATATTTCGGAGACAGGCTTACCCTACATTTAAGTTCCAAGCATTTGAATTGGAGGTGAAGGAAGCCTTTAATAAACGCAAAGTTTAGTATGTTCCGTACTTTACAGATGGAGACATTCATGCCTGCTTTGACGGATCCAGAACTTTCAGTGGTGGGAGTTCAAGTTTATATCTGAGCTGAGGAAGGGGTATGTGAAGTACGAAGCGAGAAATGTATTTGGCGTAACAAACAGTAGCGCAACCGGGTGGGGGGGACATTCGGTAGTGGGGGTCCGGAAAACCGATCTTATAAAACATTCAGCAGACTGGAAGCCTTCAGTAAATAAACACTTTAAACTAGAATAATTACCCCTAATGAGTCGTATGGAATTTTCATTTGGTAGCTCAAATTGAAACTTGAACCAACACGCATTGCCTTTGCCTCTCAGACATGAACTTAGTTACAAGCACTTTACACAATAGAGTAAAGTTTCAAAGCCTTCAGTGGCCTTTACGGAGAAAAAGAGATACTTATGACTAACGTTTTCTGGTTGAAGCCAGTGTAATGAAGAGAGGGAGGGTGGAATTAGCAATTAAACAGCCCCGATCCCCACTGGGTCTACCCATGCCTGTCCCAGTTCGTCGAGTCTCGACTACCTCCTAAACGCTACGTTATTTAATCACCTGCGTTATCAAGAATACGTTTTTCTCAGTTTTTAGGTGTGGTTAGTTTAACTTTAAATTGAAAAGGTCAAATCTGTAACCAACCTGTTCTTGATGGAGATATGGTGATGGACAGCCTTGACAATGTGGTACTGACTTGAGAAGTTGATATTGGTGATTGTGTGGATGAGCTGGTTGTTATTTCAGTGTCGTCTATCTCGGATCCAGCGGTCCGCTCAAAAGACACTTTAAAGTAACTTGTTTCTTGTGCTGTTACCATTTGTAACATTTCCATGGCATGAATGCTTTCTCTGTTTGCTTGGTGCCTGCTGGATTCCATTGCAGTTGGCCAGTGTACGCTGCTTCCTTCACAACACACACTTGTGGTTGCCGTCGCTATTGTATGTGAGATGGAAATGGTTTCTATTTGTCCAGGATCTGTTTTTGTTTGTACAGTCTTCTTTCCCCAGGATAACACGGGATTGACCTGGTACGATTCTGAACGAGAACTAGCAACACCCACGTGACTTCCGGATATTAAACTTGTCGCGGATGCTCGTGAAGAGTACACCATTTCTGTATTTTGACTATCGGACGACGGAAAAGCAACATTCGAGAGTGAAATTTTCGAAATTGTTGACAGCGAAAATGTGTGATCGCTTGATCTTGCGACATCTTCTGAAGATTGCTCGGTCGAATGCAAAATTTCCCTCTTTGTTGCTAGCGTGAATATGTGCTTGCTTGATCTTGTGACATCTGAAGATAGTGTAGCTCTATTTTGAGGAGTGTTAAGGGATGAGCTATGCATGGCGTTGAAGTTGCTGAGTATCGTATCAGAAATATTTATCGTATAGCGCCACGTAGGTGAAATGATTGTCTCTTTTGTGAACAGCAGCGGAGAAGTTTGAGTTGGAGGTACCATCGGAGGAGATGAGGAACCTAGGAGCAAAAGAGATGGCGTTAACCTAGGATCATTCTGCTTATTTAACTTAACAGTTTGATAAGTGCAACCCTAAACGTAGACTAGTGTTTGAAAATCAGTGCCTCCAGAAAACCTTGCTTTGTAGCCAACGGTGCATAAGAATAAAACTGTGGTAAATCGGGCAACAAAGACGTGCAACTGGTTTTGCAACATTGCTGCAAAACGAGTTAAAAAGCAATGTTGCGCATTTTACCACCCGCGAGTCAAACCTGCCTTGAAACGAATCACGCAGAATCAGGATATTGCAGGTTGCGGATGGATTTAGGTTTCCGGGAAACTGCCCACCTACCCCTCCCCTAAGCCATCATTTTGCCCTAAGTGAGAAGAAAGTGTTAATGTTAGCTCAGGGGAGGGGTAGGTGGGCAGTTTCTCAGAAACCTAAATTGATCCCAGGTGGCGAAAAGTTGTTGCAGTTAGTGGAGGATAGTTCTAGTTTTTGCAATAACTATTCGGAACTTGAGCAAAACAATTTGCTCGTTTTAGTTGCCCGATTTACCGTAGCTTAAGCTAGGGCCTGTGTGAAATCCAACGAGCTTCAACTTCACCTATTTTTATTCTGATATCTAATGCTGTCTTTTCCTGTAATAGTTACCTGCTTGCTGACAAAACTGGCCAAGCGTTGTCAAGGTCAACATGCTATTTTGAGTTTGAATACGCCTTATACTTGATGCTTCAACACTATTACATGTACTTGTTAACAACATGACTGATGACTGAAAGCTAGTCAGTTTAACATAACTCGTGGTAGTGGGATAAACGCTTTCCCCATCGATATTTGGCCTCCACGTCGATTGCATTGTGCTTTCAGCGGTTGAAAAAGATCTCCTTTGAGAGCTGTTGTGGTGATGATAGCCAGATATGCTACGGGTACTCCATGTGGACTGTGCCATAGTCCTTCTAGTATGACTTCTCACAATTGACGACTCTTGTGTCCTATTGTAATAGAGCTTCCAGTTGGTTGAAGTGGGTAACGTGGCTGAAGTCAGGCTGACATGCGCAGTAGAAACGGGTTCTGTACGTCCTTGGTTCATTTTGGTTGCCAAGGTCTTCATTCTCATTGATGATTCCTGATTGGCAGGGTGTGGTTCAAAAGACGCCGTGGTGGGTAAAGTGTGTAATGTAATTCCATTGCTGTAATTCCTCCATGCTATATGTGACCGCTGTGATGTCTGCGACTCTAACCCTCTCAAGCCTGTTTGTAAAGACGTAATATGATGTCCTTGATCCGCCTGTGAACTGCAGTTTCCCAAGATTGTGGAAGAGAGGAAAGGAACAGTATGCGATGTGCTCAGAATCTGCTGTCCTGTTTGCCCAACTTTAGAACTGGAATCTCTGACTAAGTTGCTATTCAGTGTTGAGACTTTCGGTGACAGTTGCGTCGGTTGCGTCGGTGTCGAAGAATATGACTGATAGACGGAAGATAGTTGGCCATTGTCAACAGTTGAATCTTCTTTAGTGTTTGAAATGTTCGCAGAAAAAATTGCTGTATCGTGTGACATGGAATTACTCAACGCATCAGATACGTCTAGCGTAGAAAGCGTACTTATGTGTATTGCCTGAGAATCCTCAGTTGTTTTGTTTTGTAAAGGTTTTAAAAAAAGCGAAAGATAGCTGGAAGATATTCCAGTGCTTATGGTATGCGAATCTTTTTTAGAACTGTAAGTTTCAGTAACTGTTCGAAGGACTAAGGAAACAGCATTTAAACCAACGCTAGAAATTTCTACAACGCTTTGTCGCTTTTGTGCAGTTGTAGGAGAAGAATCTCTTAGTAACTTGCTATCTGGTGTAAAGGGTTCCGGTAACACTTGCCAAGATGAGGACGAATTTGACAGGTAGATGGAAGTATAGCTTGCCGAAAATGTTCGAGAGATCGTGGTTGAAATTGCCACAATCGGTTGTCCAGTTTGTTTTGCGAACGCTTTCGAAGGTGTGTAGGAATTTAATAGGTGGCGGGATGATGCATAATACGTCGAATCTAATTGAGAATTTACGTTTTTAAGTATTGTAACTGAGTGTAAGAAAGCAGCGTGTATGCTAGTGCTTGAAACCCCTATAATATGATACCTTGTTAGTGCAACTGTCGAGATAGAATCTTTAAGTAAATTGCTCTTTGATGTCAATGGTTCTGTAAACACATGCCAGGTTATTGAAGAATTTGATGGATAGCTGGGAGATATTTTTGAGATAGAAGCAGTTGAATCTGTCTGAGAATTGAAGCTTTTAAATTTTGTTCGAGAGAGAAAAGAAGCACTTGAAATTTCCTCATTTTGTTGCCCGGTTTGTCCAACTGAAGAGATAGAATCTCCGAATAACTTGCTTTTTAGTGTTAAGGGCTTTGTCGATAGACGCCAAGGTTTTGAAGAGTACGAATAATAGCTGGTAGCTATTTTCCAAATTTCGTCGGTTGAATAAATGTTATGGCTTGAAAAGTTAGCAGAGATAATTGGTCTATCATTCAGAATGGATTTGTTTGACGTATGTAGTTCATCCAGTGTGGAATGTGAAGTAGTCACATGTACCCCTTGAACACCCGAAGTCACTCTGCTTTGCAAGTTCTTTGTTGAACTTGTGGACAAAATGTTTCTTTGGGAAGATAGCGTGCTTGATGGCCTTGTCAAGGGAGTGGAAAGAGAGAATTTAAAATAGGGCGTGGCATCCGAGTCTCCGAGAAAGGGTGTAGCACCAGAATTGCTAGGAGAGAAAGCTACGCTGGAATAACTTGACGAAGTTGTAGCTAACTGGTGGACTGGAGAGTCGTTGCTCGACCTTACTGTTAAAAAGGACTGTAGCATCATGACATAAGTGGATGGTGCAAAGTGACTGGTTGGGCTTGAAATTGACGCCACGCTCGCCGAACCTTTTGAATAAAAATAACAGTTGATTATTACCACACTGCTACTTAATATCATTTCAAAGAGCACCAATTGGAAAATAAGATGCAGCCGTCACATTTCAGTGGATAGGAGAACATAAATATTTTTTTGCGTAGAGATTAAATGCCTGGTATTTCTTTGAGAATAGACTCATTTGTGGGACTTGACCTTTATCCTGTTAACTGGAAACCGTTCATACCCTTACTAAAGCAGACTAAAAGTCCCCATTTCAGTGAAAAGAACAAATTGATTTACCTGGACAAGGGGTTAGCACGCATTCCGTTGTCTCCCATGGAACGCCAATTTCTGAACAGTTCTTGCCAGTAAAAGCAGGAGGTGGGTTGGTGCAGCTGCGAGATCTGTTCCTGAACCCAGTTCCACAGGACACGTTACACGCAGACCAGTTGGACCAGCTGCTGTAGCCACCGTCAACTGGTACTGCAACGGAAATGAAGTTTTAGAGCTAACTTTGAAGCCAAGGACCCACTCCAACAACTAGAAAGGAAAGGGGTACAAGCTATGGGCGCAACGATTTCTGGGATCTTGCGGGTGGAGAAGCGTTACTTCTGATTGGTTAATGGTTGCATTGAATACCATCGACCAATCATAACTAACGCTTGTCCACTCAAACGAACCATTAATCACTTCACCTAAAGCTTGTACCCGTTCTCCCGTAAGTTTTTTCTGAAATGGGGTGTTACAGTGACATGGGCATCCCCACGTTTTGGGCATCCCCATTCCCTGAACCCTAGTGATATGGGCATCCCCTTCTCATATTACCTTAGCGATTTGGGTTAGTGTTAGGGTTACAGGGGATACCCATATCACTAGAGTTTTGGGGATGGGGATGCCCAAAACGCGGAGTTGCCCATATCACTGTGTGTTGAATTTCACAAACATGATTAGGATTGCTGCAAGGGATTCTATGTGGACTATTGCTCATTTTCATCCTTTCTGTTATGTTGTGATTTTATTTTGAAGTTACTTTTGTGTTTGTAGAGTGGAACAAGCGTCCATGTAATAAACGAGGTTAGGTAAAGATATCGGTTTCGTTCGAAAAGGTCACCATGTTATATAAAAGGTCATGTATTTAGCGTGAAAACTTTTAGAATAAAGACCACTTTCAAATCCTACTAATTTAAATTATACAAATCAACTATGAACAACAGGGGAAAAAAAACAGCGAATAACTGAAGCAACTAAAATTTCTCCAAGCCGTCCTTCTTAGGGGAATTTCTCTCAGAAGGCCCGGGAAAACTCAAGTCTCCTTTTCTCTTTGCCGTTCTCTTTATTATAATTGACATGTTTTCCGCTCTCGCTATATCAGCCAATTTCAGGCCCAATACGCCTTTTAACTTTATAGATCATTTTCACATGACATCACGGCGGCCATATTTGTGTACAAAACAATGAATCGGCGGCCATGTTTGTGTACAAAAAAAATCCTGTGGAAACTGAAATCTTTTTACATGTTAAAACTTTCTTTTATTCAAAACAATTTGCAAAGCTGCTGACCACTTGAGTGAAAAGGATCTATTGTCTGCTTTCCTCAAAGCGGATGGTCTGAACAGAATTCAATAATTAATTGACTATGAGAAACTGAAAGTCACTTACTGCAGTTCGAGATTAAACAGCTTCTCGTCTCACTGTCTGCCACATGACCACAAACCAGTTCCAGTCCACTCTCTGGTAGAGGATTCAAGCATGTCCTGTACCTAGTCTGGTTTCCATGGTGACACGTCTGGGAACATTCTGTCCAGGTGGTCCACTCGGTCCAGTCTCCTCTGACTAACGATAAACGAAGCCACTGCTCATAAGAACACACTCCAGCACTAAACACAAAGACTTGGCTCTTTAACGTGTATTTTGAGGTGCGTTTCACATCACCTGTTAGTCGTGAGTGGTTGATCTGAGAATATTAGTGCAGGTGCTGGCAACATAAGAGTTCATCATCAGGTTATCTTGTGTGCTAATGATCCGGCCAGAGTGTTGCGCTTTCTTTCTTTCTTCCGTTCTTGACAACACTTTCATTGTAATCCGTAAAACCCTGTGCAGGTGCATGTGATGCTAATCCATGTGAAAATGAGTCACCACTGATCTCCTAATTATTTGTGCTAAATAAGGATACTCGTTATCTTCTTATTATACGACCAACTCTCTTCTCACCGACACCTCCCTAAAACCAACACCTATTGTAGCCCCGCAGTGGAGGATGCAGACTTTCAGATAAGGGGAGGGGGGAAAGGCGGTCATCCAGATCCTGAGATGGGGGGGGCGATCTCAAAAAAAATTTTTCGGCCGTTCGGGCCCCTCCCCTGGCTCCGCCACTGGTAGATGCTTGCAGCTCTTTAGTCATTTCCTTTGACGAGCAGCTCCCTAAGACGGCGGAACACTAAATGCCGGTCTCAACCCCTTCTAGAAAGAGGTGACTGTATCACTTATTTACAAGATTCCGATGGGGTCTTTTACGTTACATTTTTTTTTTTGTTTTGCTTAAATTACGACTTTTTAACTACAGCTAAACTACTAGTGTTGCGCTAACCTTTATCGACGTTGTATGCACAACGAAATCCACTCGACTCTTTATCCGCGTCCGATACAAACCGTATGCTCATATTTCCGTCCCTCTCAAATTTTAGAGAATGGTTGTAGATACCACAAAATCGACCAAGAACAGGAGCATCATCAAGCGACACACCCGCGAGTATCTCCATGTAATCAAATCTACAGTCTTCTTCATATTCCAAAGCAATGTCGTGACATTCGAGAGCGATAAGCATTGATGGGTGGAGTTTAATTGTCCAAAGGCAGTCCATATAGTTTAGGTAGTTGTCAGGGTACTGAGGAGTAGTTATGACCCCACTTGTTGCATTTGTCTGGACTTTGCAAACACCTGTACATTCAAAAGGCGAATGAACATGTAGCATATATGTTCTGGTTCAATATTGTCCATATGCTTCAAAGTCCTTAGGCGCTTTCCATTCAACAAAAATTCCGGTTTGAATTTCGGAAATTCTATGTGCCCAATGGCACAGTACATTCAGGTTGCACACACCCCACCCAAACCACCACACGTTTGGTTATTGTTTTCGTAAGCAGGATTCAAAAGAGCGGTTCTGGGGACATCAATTTTGTCAAATGGAGAAGAACGTTTCGGTCCGACCGACCGAAATGACCAGACCCGTCAAGGGACCACCTTCAAAGCTGGTCCCAAATATTACGGTCTGACCGAACTGAAATGGTCCGTGCCGTTTGATTTCTAACCTAAATTTTCGGAATTTGAGCTGGATGGAAAGCGCCCCTTATCTTGAATTAACATACCCAAACTGACAAAGGGTAATTAAATTCCAAACAAGGATAAAATTATACTAATCTCGTACCCAGATCTCACTCTGTGTTGGCAGTGGGAGTTTTGAGAACAAGATTACACATGTACATATAAGTGTATCTTGTCAGTACAGTCGAACCCCGCTATTTCCCCAAGTGAGAAAAAGTTTTTCGTTAAAGGGAAGGGTAAATCCAAGGGCATTCGATCTTCCTTCGAAATAGCGGGGACTTCGAATTAACCGAGTTCGAAATAGCGAGGTTCGACTGTATTTTTGTTGCTGTTGTTATCTTCTCAGCTGCAAACACACCAAAGAAGCCCCATAACTAAGAAAAAAATGGTATTCAACCTGGCGTAGGCACACAGGGATACCAATGTGGCGAAACTGTCAGAGGGTGCCCTCTGTAGCTGACTGTAATGATCAAGACCTTGCTTGTGTTAACTCCTAGCTACTTTATTTCAAAGTATGTTTCTTTCCGCCTGCCCATTCGGTCACCTTATGAACGCCCACCCAGTCTAACACGTACAAAACGGAATCTGAGCAAGACGATATCCGCATAACTAACAACAGGTCTTTTTAAAAAGTTCTTAGCTGGCCGAGTGGTTTGTGTCTAACGTCTCTTGTATAAATCTAAACGTCTTCCGTCAGATGATTTCAATACATTTTCTTCATGATTTTGGTAATGTAACATTACTTAGTTTTTGATTGTTTACTTACCAGAATGCCTTAGATTAAACCCTCGTGAGTTGAAACTGTCAGTGACGTTGTCAGAAACAAAACGTAACAGCATTTGTGTTCCGGATGAACTGACGCTCTGACCTGCTCCGGATCTCCCACAAAACTTTGCTCGCAATGGAGATGCTTCGCTGTCTCCATCTCTGATCTCTAAGTAATCTCCTTCGCATTGCGTCTGTTTTAAGAGAACCAAGTACGCTTAGGTGCTGTCCGCACTGACTATACCGGGTAGCTTTTTGTGGCGCCTCGACAACCTATCCAGTAGAGTGTGAACAGCACTGGCGAAAGTTAAAAGTCGTTCACACACATCGAACATCGTGCTGGCAGGGTTGGCCGAGAGGGTGTGGTACACTAAATTCTAGTTCACACTTCTGAATACTTACATCCTTCTCAGTGGATTCCAGGTTTCACTCCTACTTATTAGGCTGATTTAGCAACAGAACGGGAACGTCATTTGACGACGGGAAAGCGCGAGGAAAGGACGAAACTCGGCTTGCGGTGCCCAATTTGCCACACAGCCATTGGTCAACCCAGTTGTTTGATTTGCGGGCGCCGTCATCAACTGACGTTCCCGTTCTGTTCCTAAATCAGCCTATTTACTTCAGCGACGGGACGGATAGCTGTTCACACTACATGTATACCAAGAACGGCACGAAACCTATCCGATATGTGACGCTCCGCCTTAGAGATCGGCGCGGCGCGGCGCGGCGCGGCTCGGCACAGCTTCGCTCGGTCGTCACAGAAACCGCTCCGCTACAACCGTTCTTGTGTATGAACAGAAACCCTAGTTCTATTCAGTATGATTTTCGCGGCGGCGCAAAGCGAGTTATCCAGTATAGCGTGAACACAGCCTTAGTTATCCATCGTTAAGGAAACTAACTCAGTCAAATTGCTGATACAACAAACTCCGTATTGAAATGTTATCTGCAGTCTGTCCGCCCTCTTTCACTCCCTAACTGAACTGGACAAAGCCTCTATTTAAAAGCATTATCAAAGGTCGAAACGTAAGATTTTGTCAAGATGCTCAATAGTTCGAACTACGTAAAACATCTCCGATCGTAATCAGTGCCTAAGGGTGAAAGGGTTAAACTAGAGGATATTGCCATTGACAAATCCCAGTAAAATATAGACTTGCTACAAGTCGACCTCTCATAATTTCTCAAAGCTTGCTTCAATGAGGTTGCGACAACGCGAGCGACGAAATCGCGAGGTCGACTTGTTTCGGCCGAGTGGATTTTAATGACATTATAAATTCACGCGAGAAAAAACAAATTTACGGGTGTCTATCCAGAGCTTCTAAGGTAGCCTGCGTAGCATGGGGGTTTTGTCGAGGCGCACAACTGAGCGGCGAAGTCCAAGGCACCATCTCCCGTCTTTATAGCTTTTTGCGCGCTCCACCAAAACCGCCATGCTACGCAAACTACTTCTTGGTCAATTTTCATGACGTCACCGCGTCGGAATTTTCGATCGGTGAATTTCGCGCCAAGTAGTTATGAATGGTCCTCTAAAATGGCATAACCAACCAGGAAATAATTCAGAGGACTTCGGAGAAAGTCTAGGTAAAATAGTGTTTTTTGTTAGAAGTGTGTACCGGCAAAGCAACTTCTTCGATTCTTTCTGTTGCTTTCAGACCTCGGGGAACCATTAATAAAGAAGTCATCATTTGAAGCAATAGCTCATTCCCAGCTTCCCACTGGCGAAGAGAGAGGGTACCCTATTCAAGCGTGATTCTTCTCTAGCTGGCTATACTTCCAGTAGACCTGCACCGTTCTAAACCTCTTATTTCACTGGTCCCCTTTAATCTGCACCTCCATTGTTTTCAGGGATAGGGACATTGTTATGTGACAATCCCTACTGTTTTCCCAGCTATTAAATCAAAAACAATCTTTCAAATAGGTGTGGAATCGCTCCATACTTCGACCGGCGAGGCGCTGGTTGTGAGAGATTCTCGCTATTTCTTACCTGGAAATCGTCGATGGTTATCGTAATTCTATTTCCACTTGAGACAGTCTTGATCCACGTTAAAGTGGTGTTTGTAGGATACGTGAAAGGATAGTTTGGTGAGGATACAGTACCGTCCCATTTTGTGAGAAGTACTGGCGCAGTCGCTAAACCAAAAAAGAAGCATAGAACAGTAATGACCCAAGTGCTCTGCGAAGTAAATATATTACAAAAGCTCGGCACATCTCCGAGTATCTTATCTAAGTATGTATTGCTACGCTTCGTGATTGGCTAAAAGATTTTGCGTCATTCCCTCAACCAATCAGAAGCGAAACCAAACCCATCGTGACTTACCCGCGCTCTTGTTCCCGCGTTTGACGCGGATTGCATAATGGCTCCCACTCAGGCTTTCTCTTCTGCCCCGTTGTCCACGTCAGGATTAAAGGAGCCATTAAAGCCAAGGGACTAGCCTGACTGGCTCGGGAATCTGATTGGCTGAATCAAATTTTTGCTCATTTTTGAGGTTTTGGAAAACTGGCCACCTAACCCCGTCCCCCCCCCCCCACCCCCGCCAAGGCAGTATTTTGCCTTAAGTAAGAAGTAAGTGTGTTAACGTTGAGTTAGGGGAGGGGTAGGTGAGCAGTTTCCCAAAAGAAAACAAGTAATTAGGGTACGAGGTCAGTGCGCCTTGATGATTTCAGCTTAATGACCCTTTAACTCTCAGAAGTGATTTGTATGTAACTTCTCCTTAGAACATCTAATGCAATGTCCCAAAGGTAGGCGGTGAGAATTGACAAATTTATCAGCCAGGGGATGTTTTATTGATATAACCCCCAATTCTCTTCTTTAACATTCAATAAAATGTATAGCAGCCAGAAAGGAGAAATGCTAATCAGATCTTAGGAGTTAAAGGGGTAAGTTAATTTCGTCACGTAGAAAGGTGGTCCAGAAATCAAACCATTCCAGTAAACCGTCTCTTTTAGATTCAGTATCATAAAACTTACCCTGTAAAGAGACTTTTGCGAAAATAAAAAAATTCTCCATGACGAGGCAAAAGAATTTTTCCGAGTTTCAGATGAAATAGGATACCTCAGTTCCTCTCATCTTTCACGTACTCCTCCATTTTTAAATTTTTCTCACAACACAGCATGCACTGCAAAAAAAGCTAGCTCAAGTGGCAGTCATTGCATTAAAATTCACCCATTTTTTCGGTTCTTGGCACCAATCACCTTATCGTTATTCTCTATAGTGCGAGCAACACTTTTCCATAGTTTTGGTGCGTCTACATATTCGGCACTTCACTAACACTGTCTTACCTTTGGCTGACTTGAATACGAGGAAGCTTACTAAATAACACACGTGAATGTAATGCTGAAAATAATAATACAAAAAAAAAATTTCGCTGACATCTATCACGCAATTGTTTGTTACAGACTCACAATTTGACCACCAAATTTAGCAGCCTATTAATTAAATTAGTATAGGTAATAGCATGTTTTTATAGTGATGTTTGGCATAAATACCTCGAGCGATATTTCGAAATTGTTATACGTAGTGAAAGGCATATGTCGCGTCGTAGAATCAAATACCAAAGCATTGATTCTCGTATAAACAGCAACGATCTATGAGAACTAAAACTGTCAGGGCGTCGCAAAGAAACTGTACATGTATCAGGGGCACCCAACGACAATTTTCGGGAAAATATCTGTTCGGAAGACGATTTGAGATCTAGAATTTTCGGAACATTTGTTGTAAAATTTCTTGCTTGCTTGCCTCTCCTAGGATTTTCGAACATCTAAAAAAAGGTAAAATTGCCCATCTTTAACGGATTTTTACCCTAAAAAGGTCACCTAGAATTTTCGGGAGCCTTTTTTCTGGCTGAAATTTTCGAACAGGTAAGTTTTGATCCCTATAATTTTCGGATCACTAGACTTTCAGCTAGCAAATCCGAACAGATGAAAAATTTATAGGGGATAAAAATATGCCCATATCCACCGTTTAAATACTAAAATACGTTTAACAATGCTATGTTTAAGTGGTTTTGAACTATATTCTCGTTGGGTGCCCCTGATGTATCCCTAGCTCGTGCACGTCAGTCGCCATTGTAGGGTAGAAGTTCACCGAAATGCTAGCTTCGGAAAGTTATACTACTACATGAGAAATTTCTGCAATTTGATTGGCTTAGAGCAGCGGTATTTCAGTTTGATTTGAAATACCTGCATGTGAAAATTACAAACCTTTTGTGGGTAGAAGTATAAACAAATAATAGCATGATTTGTACGTGACAATTGGCGTAAATACCACTCGTGATATTTCAAAATTGTCTCAAATTTCACGAGCCTTTCACTACGTATAACAATTTCGAAATATGCCTTTCACTACGTATAACAATTTCGAAATATCACTCGAGGTATTTATGCCAAACATCACTACAAATCATGCTATTACCTATACAAACTAGCATTTCGGTGAACTTCTACCCTACAATGGCGACTGACGTGCACGAGCTAGGGATACATGTACAGTTTCTTTGCGACGGCCCTGACTGTTTTAGTTCTCATAGATCGTTGCTGTTTATACGAGAATCAATGCTTTCGGTCTTTGATTCTACGACGCGACAGAAGCTGGTGAGCTATATTCGCAGTAATAACTATTTCGTATGCCAACATAAGTCGCTATCCCACCCATTACTAATTGCACTGCATTTACATACATAACTACATACATGATCTATTTGGTAATGATAGCAACTTCTAAAGCTGGTGTGGACCTACTTAACAATTTTAAAACTACAAGCAAAAAAGTTACTTACAAAAAAAAGTATATTTACAATAAAATGCAAATTCATTCTAAACAGACCCTCTTTAAAATTTTAAAGCTACTACCAAAAAAGTTACTCACAAAAACAGTCTATTTACAATAAACTGAAAACTCATACTAAAAAGAATGACTTAGCTATGCAATGTAAAAGTTCTACAAAGAAACACTTCCGTTATTACAGTTTTACAATTTTCGGTTTTAGCCGTCTTTTATTTCGGTAAAGTATCTCACAAAAATGAGAAAATCAATTCACTCCCCAGCTACAATATTATTGTCTAGTTTAACAAGAAATTCTATACGGTCTTTGTATGATTTAATTTCACAGTAGTTGAGGGTCAGTTAAGACATATTTTGGTATTAAAGAAAATTTGGGTTCCATTTTCAAAGAAATTGCGTTGAGTACAACTTTACCTTGACTGG